TAGCCATATTTTAAACCATTTGGAAGTCTGTCAAATATTTGTGAGATAGTAAGATGCGGGGATCGCGTCTACGGAAAGCTTGTCGATCAGGGGGGGCTGTCAACGTACCGGTTGTGGAAGGTTACAAGCGGGGTGGTGGCGGCGGTGGCTGTGGGCGCCGTGCGCAGCGGGTTGCGCGCGACGGTAGCAGCGGCGGCGCTGGCGTCGTGACGCAGTGTGACGTCAGTGCGCCGTCGGCTCAATACGCGCCGGCCCCATCGTCAGTCGTCGCCCGAAGCAGGCCACCAAACGTCGCGCCTTACGCGCCTCCGCCAATTCTCTCATTCCGGGTTTTAGTTTCGTACCATGATGACATAGTCCCAGTGCCGTGCGACGAGACTACGTGAAAGCGCACATTTTTTAAGTTTTTTCATTAGAACGAGGAAACCGTAAAGAACCCCGTTGTTGCAGAACTAGCTACGACCCACCCCACTCCGTTAAGGGAAAGAGGCGAGACCGACAGGCGGCTTGTTCCTTTTTATCCGCCTATTTCATAAAGACTAGCGAAAATGGGCGAGGTGAGTGCAGTGCTTGTAGTAGTGCTTGCCTTAGTCTTTACAGTATCTTAACCGACTCGGCGAGACAGTGCTTTCGTGAAGGTGTAAGTGCATGTCGCAAACCGTGAGTGCGGAAAGGTAGGGCAGACATTTTCAGCAGCTAGAGCAGTGCTCATCTGCTTGTGAACCGTGCTTGCGTTCTTCGTCTTATTGTCTTAGCAAAGTTTTATCACGAAATCATTCGCACGTTCTATCGCCTTTGTTCTGTTACCCGCAACATTTCTGTAGGACCGTTACTTTTTGCACTTCATCGCCAACGTTTTCCGTTTTAAGTTAGTTACTTTTCTTTTATTTTATGTTCTACGTTACAATCAGTAGTTACATATATTATCTTATATCTATATATACCTATGTATTACCTGTAATATTATAGGACTACACATAATTCCTAAGTTTTTGATTCGGGAGGAGAGCGAGGTATTGGAGACGGCGCCAGAGGGGTTGCGTAACTTGGTGTATCGATCTGTGCAGAGAACGGGACATCCACTCAACTTTCATATGTCAATACTAAACCACTTCCTTGTATCGTCCTATATTATGCAGTTCTCCAATATTATAGCCATTCTGCCATCCCGTGATATACTATAACTAACTAATAACTATTCTAATATTTTGTAGTCTGTCTTTTGTCAGACACATTTTTTTAGATTTTTAGAGTAAATTTAAAAAGCACTTAAGTTTGACAAAGAAAAACAGGGCATTATTGTGTCATGTCAAATAATTTGTTAATAAGACATTCAATCTTTTTAGTTTTCTTGGAATTAAGAAAGTAAGCGAAACTGCCTTCTTGACTTCAATTTAAATTTTATAAGAAGTGCTTAAAGATCAACATTTTAAACTGACCGGTTCACTATTAATTGTACATAATAGTAAGAAACAATATGTCGAAACACACGCACTATTGTTTTATTACTCTTGTGTCTTATTTTCACATATATTTAAAAGAAATGGAAAATTTCGCCCCATTTTTTTCTTTGCGTAATTCACATTTCGGTCACGTGATCGCAAGCAGGCTAAAGACTATTCCTTACTAGGTGATCTGTAGGAAGTAGCTAACAGGTTGTCGCGGGAGCTAACCGTGCTTCGGACACGACTGTAAGAGTACCGAAGGTTTATTAGAAAATTGCTTCGTCATTATGTCATTTAAATCGCATATAGTAACGTCGCTCTATTGGAGCATTTCCTTTATCCTTTATGACGATGGCACGCATCAATTATAGGATGCTAGACTGAGTCCTTGAAGGTGTTCTTAATGTTCTTACAGTTGTCATAGCATTAGACTTTGCTGTCTATCACCATACAATATGCGCATACCTAAATATGTCACACTAAAACCTTAAAGACATCCTATAAAATAGTTGAAATATTTAAAAATATACACAAAATTTAAGGGTTTTTGTTTAAGTTCGTTTCTGGTGAGGTTTCTTCCCGAATCAGCTCTTTAAAACAGCATATTTTGGATGAATTTTTCTTTCTCATAAAATCTGTTTTATTACCTTTGAGTAAATACCTTCTAAATCGTGTGAGCCCCGTTAAACCGGCACTTCAATAAAATAATCTAAAAAATGACTGGAATATAGCAAGCTAGTTTACTGAAGCTCAGTTATCAGGAGTCAGTCAGAGCATCTGATAGGGTTAAATTCCTTGAATACTAGATTTACGGAACTTTAAACGGTCTTTCAGGTCCTACATACATAATATGTTATCCTTCAGTATTTTAACTGAACATTTGTTTGTCCAAAATGTTACGTAATGTACATAGCTGCTGTTTGCCTATGTTGTACATAGTTTTGATACCTTCCATGCAGTCAGCCTGCGTAACTGCGTAACTTTCCATTCTGAGTAAAAATTTAATAGTTATTTTTTCTCAAACCTGACCTTCTACGGTTAACCACATCGCACACAACTCCTTTCTTCAACTTGATGACCCACAAACTCCAGAACAGTACCGTCCTTCCTAAATATTTCTTAATCAAATTGTACATGAAATTAACTTGATTTCAGAAAGCAATGGCCTCGTGACTTGATTGTTCTCAAATGCTTAAAAGTTATCAACCTATTGACTCATTTCTTATCATAATACAGTTCAAAGTTAGTGAATTATGAATATTGTCGATAAGAACAATATAAACAACTTACAGAATATCCTATGAACAAACATTATTTTATCCGCGAGAAATTTAAGTAAAAAAAACCTACCAATTAAGAAAAAAGTACAAATATTCACAGTTAACAAAATGAAAATTCTACAAAATTAATAATATTTAATGTACGATACAAACATAACACACTCGGTCGTGTTAAAAGAAGAAAGTAACAAATTTTTCTCTGAATTCTTCCAAATCCAGTAAATGTTCGCCCACGTTTGTGTGTTTATAGCCTATAATTTTATCTTGAGATACAAAACGAAAAAGTTGGCTTTGGTTAATATGTAAAAGTATTTTTTGGCAGTGATTATCCTTAGCTGTGTCGTCACGAAACATCAATCGTACGTGTCCCGCTTCATTAATGTTAAAAATAATTGTCTCATTCACACGTCACATATGTACTACGATAGTAAATTCAAATGTTTTGATGTAAAGCAGTTTTGTGACCGTGTCAATTATGAAGTCCTTACCTAGGATAAATTACGTGTTATTAGTTTGGCGTTAGTTTATTTAGCTCGTATATTTATAGCTTTACTTACATTGGTTTTGTTAAATTTTTACACAGTTTTCATACACACTTGTATGCGTAAATTTAATGCTTGCTCCTGAAACAAAAAATGCAACTCTATGTTTTTGTTTTAGGGTTTTACACCTTAACGCCTGAAATAACGATAATTTTTCTATTGCTTGAATGTAAGTATTAACAAAAATGGTGTCTAAAACGCCGCTTAAACTTGTCTCCTTTGAAAGTTTTAAAAGTGGGTTAATCATCCCTCTGCAGACGGTCGACGTTTTATTCTCGTTTAAACCAGTTTCGATTTTCCATCAGATATTCCGGTTTAACCTTTATAGAGATTATAAATGCGGTCGTCGGGGCCTGGGGTGGCAACCTTGTCTTTTAGCTATTTATGTCGGTGGTAGAGAGTAGGGGTCGGTCTGCAGTGCGCAGGCCCGATGTGCGCGCCGCTTATGTAATACGAACACGCCACCACACCACTGTCGGATCTTTCCACCGTTACTCTTATATTCCAGTATCATTAGCAAGCTGCAAGACAGTTCCTTGCAGTTATTTTATCTAAACACTAATCGGTTTCTTTATTCGGGTCATTAATCTTATTTACTTTTTAACAATTTTTATTGCCTGTATTATTCACGTAATCACGTTTCATCTTCATAAAGTCAGTCAGATTTCTTAAAATTACCCTTAATTATGGATTAATTAGATACTTCTAGAATTTCACGACTCGAGTGCTTTTCAGTGACTGTTGTTCTAGTTATTCCCGCGATAGCCTTCATGGGAATTCAGGGCGCGGTTTAATGAGGCCTGCTATGAAAACGTTCATCAATTATCGACGGAGACGGCTGGCTTGTTTACGGCACCGCGGACGCATTTAGACTTGTGACATTACCCCCTATACTATTTATACAAAAGTACTTTACGTAACAGAAACCATATATAACCAATTTCACATTAGGTACTAACGAAATCCTCTTTCGCGTCTCATTACTCTTAACTTTACACATACGGTTGAATACAACGGCTGTAAATACCTGGAATAAAACATGGACAAAGTTGACAATGTAAGTACTGTAGTTAAATGAGTAGAGGTTTTATGTATGGAATCAGCCATGCATTTACAACTATGCCAGTGCGGTGTCCTTACATTGGCTCTCAGGTTCGCACGCGCAACTAGTTCAGATCAATTGAGCGCCATTGAGCCGTTGGTCCCTAGTTCTATAGAGTACTCGTTCGGCAAGGTCATGTCCCATACGTTGTTGCTGTGTACGCTTTGCAATTGTGTGCTTTCAACAGATTACGTATTCAACTATTCCTTTATACGCCCATCTATATGGTAGTCTATATAGTTCGTACCTACTTACTTATTACTTGTATTCGTACCTTAGCACAATCATTATTAGATGCAATTTATATTAGCGCTACCCCTAATTTTCAAACATCTACATGCATTTTGTTTTATTTGTAAAAAAGTTTCTGGATTAATTTTTAAATGTCCATAAATAAATAAAATCCAGGTTCTTTATGAATTATGAACATGTTTTGTTTTTTAATGGCAATATTTCACCCTAATTACTTCAGAAATATTTATAACTTAGATGGTTTAGTTTTTTCTTTTTGAAAATGAAAAAAATTATAATGTGAAATATCGCCGCTCACCTCTACCACCCATTCATTCACGAGTGCATGGCCCATAGGGCCGCCTTGTAGACTGTGTCTAGCCCCTAGTTGTGTTTGCAGCATGGCCGTACCGACTCGTACCGCGTCGCCACCATCGGCCCCATTAAAGACGATAATAGAACTGCTGACGGACAGTACAAGGTTTTTATTTTCATTACCATTTTTCATTTAATATTTTTGTGACCATTAACGCCAGAAGTCATAAGAGCAGCTTTTCTTCAATTATTGCATGATTTTTGATACTTTCCTAATCGCAATGTTTTCTTAATAAGTTTTAGTTTAAATTAAATTACCTAGTAAGCAAATTAAGATATTAAACAGTTATTGATGATTAAATGTATTGTCAAAAAATGTTTAAATTGTAAGTTAATATTTTTTACAAAACATTTTACAGACACGCCGGAAACCCCCCGCGAAGAAACGGAAAGCAGGAGATTTAGATGATCTAAAACAAGAGTTGGATATTGATTACCATAAAGTTACACCAGAAGAGCTATACCAAAGATTTCAGACACACCCAGAAAATGTAAGGCAATGAACACAAAATTATTATTAGGATGCCTTCAAACATTCAAGTCACATTTGAAAATAGATATTAATTGTAATCTAATTTACAGGGCCTTAGTCACGCAAAAGCGAAAGAAAACCTTGAAAGAGACGGTCCAAATGCACTCACTCCGCCAAAACAGACGCCCGAATGGGTGAAGTTTTGTAAAAATCTGTTCGGTGGTTTCGCGTTATTATTGTGGATTGGTGCTATTCTATGCTTTATTGCCTATGGAATTCAGGTAAGTAACGCAACGATCACAATATCCTCAATAGTAAGTTGTACCTTGTAATAAATATGGCAACTTTCACCCCCAGGCTAGTACCGTAGAAGAACCAGCGGATGACAATCTTTACCTCGGCATTGTACTGGCAGCTGTCGTTATCGTGACGGGTATCTTCTCGTACTATCAGGAAAGCAAGTCATCGAAGATTATGGAATCCTTTAAGAACATGGTGCCACAATTCGCTACCGTCATCCGCGAGGGTGAGAAGTTAACGCTGCGCGCTGAGGATCTGGTACTCGGAGATATTGTAGAGGTTAGTTACTTGCACTTGACGCAATAATTTCTTCACTATGTTATTATATTATAAATAATTGCTATATGAATACTCAGGTGAAATTCGGTGATCGTATTCCTGCTGATATCCGAATCATCGAAGCGCGAGGCTTCAAGGTAGACAACTCAAGTTTAACCGGAGAATCAGAGCCCCAATCGCGAGGAGCCGATTTCACCAATGAAAACCCTCTGGAAACCAAAAACTTGGCATTCTTCTCTACTAACGCGGTTGAAGGAACGGCGAAGGGCATTGTCATCTGCTGCGGAGACAACACGGTGCGTACAATATTTCATTTTAATTAATTTGTTGAATTAATTACAGCTGGATTAATTTACCATAGTAATGGTTACAATTTAGATTTCATATTTTCTAATAAAAATAAATTGCGTAGGTGATGGGTCGTATTGCTGGCTTGGCCTCTGGATTGGACACCGGCGAAACCCCTATCGCTAAAGAAATTCACCATTTCATCCAATTGATTACTGGCGTGGCTGTGTTCCTTGGTGTCACCTTCTTCGTCATTGCATTTATCCTCGGATACCATTGGCTAGACGCAGTCATTTTTCTTATTGGTAAGAAAAAAAAACTAATTTATGGTATAATATGGATGGTTTAGCAGTACCGGTACTGATCGTGTTGTATCTTGTGACGTGTAGAGGTTTTCAGACCACCTTATGTAACTGGATATTAAAAGTCCTTAAGCACATTAATCGCTTACCAGCGGGTTTTAAAACGACTTTGCCATCCATTAATATAACTATGATAAATATTATTTATAATAGAACATAGATAGATAATAGAACTTTAATGTGCCCCATTCCGTCAGGTATCATCGTCGCCAATGTACCCGAAGGTTTACTGGCTACTGTAACCGTATGTTTGACCTTAACGGCTAAGCGGATGGCCTCAAAGAACTGCCTGGTCAAGAATCTAGAGGCTGTGGAGACCCTCGGCTCTACTTCTACCATTTGCTCTGACAAGACTGGAACTCTGACACAAAATAGAATGACCGTCGCTCACATGTGGTTCGATAATCAGATTATTGAAGCTGACACTACTGAAGATCAGTCCGGTGTTCAATATGGTAACTATACCGCTACTGAAAATAGTTTTTTTATGAAATAATTAGACGGGGAATAATATTAATATTATTTAACGGGAATTAACGCGATCTCTTATTTAGGGTATTACATACCTCTGGTTTGCCTGACGTTTCGACCAGGTTGCACCGGCCATGGTCACAGGCTGACTCAGGTTAAATAATATTAATTATCATGGAACGCGAAAGTTTAAAAGTTAGTATAGCAAACCGCTACGGGGGAATAATATGTTTAATGTTTTCTCTCTTTTAGACCGTACTAGCCCCGGATTCAAAGCTCTGGCCAAGATCGCTACTCTTTGCAACCGCGCTGAATTCAAGGGTGGTCAGGATGGGGTACCAATACTGAAGAAGGAAGTAGCTGGTGACGCTTCCGAAGCTGCTCTGCTCAAATGTATGGAACTAGCTCTTGGTGATGTCCTATCGATCAGAAAGCGCAACAAGAAGGCATGCGAGATTCCCTTCAACTCGACCAACAAATATCAGGTCTCGATTCACGAAAGCGACGATCCTAGTGACCCCCGTCATTTGCTCGTCATGAAGGGTGCTCCTGAAAGGATTTTGGAACGCTGCAGCACAATTTTCATTGGTGGCAAGGAAAAGGTAGAGTATCCATTTTGAAAACGTACAATTAACTATAGTGATAATGGCTTATAAATTGTGGTTGTTCTTAGGTTTTGGACGAGGAAATGAAGGAAGCCTTCAACAATGCTTACTTGGAACTTGGAGGTCTAGGTGAACGTGTGCTCGGTTTTTGTGATCTGCAACTTCCATCTGACAAGTACCCTATTGGCTACAAGTTCAACACTGATGACCCTAACTTCCCATTGGACAACCTTCGCTTTGTAGGCCTGATGAGTATGATTGATCCTCCTCGCGCTGCTGTCCCTGATGCCGTTGCCAAGTGCCGATCTGCTGGTATCAAGGTAAGATAGGAATTAACGAAGTTGGTGCTGGTTTAGTAATAAAGTTGCACCATTTCTTAAATATACGATCGGTTTTTAGGTTATCATGGTGACTGGTGATCACCCTATCACTGCCAAGGCTATTGCGAAGTCTGTAGGTATCATCTCTGAAGGCAACGAGACTGTTGAGGATATTGCTGCTCGTCTGAACATTCCTGTATCTGAAGTAAATCCACGTGAAGCAAAGGCGGCTGTTGTCCACGGCACTGAGTTGAGAGAGCTGAATTCCGATCAACTTGATGAAATTTTGAAGTAATTATCAAATTGTCTGCTTTTCGACTTTTTTCTGGAATAGATTAAACAATTCTGGTACAAGCATTCTTCCTTCAGTATCATAACCTTTGCTATTAATTACAACCTTAAAGTTCTATTAATACATTACTTTTAAAAAGTGTACTAATACTCATTTTTGTGCCAAAGGTTCCACACTGAAATCGTGTTTGCCCGGACCTCACCGCAACAGAAGCTGATCATCGTAGAAGGTTGCCAGCGTCTCGGTGCAATTGTGGCTGTGACCGGTGATGGTGTAAATGACTCGCCCGCCCTGAAGAAGGCTGACATTGGCGTTGCTATGGGTATCGCTGGATCTGATGTGTCTAAACAAGTAAGTAAGGAAGTAGAGTTGGTCCAATAAAAGATACATCTGTTTAACCTAGGTTTTAATAAAATATTCAATCTTTTGCCAGAAAGAAAACTACGATAATTATACATTTTCCCTCTTTTCTCCCCCCTCCCCTCCTTTCTCTCTCTCCCTCTTTTTCTCTTCACCACTAGAAACAAGTTTTCCTCCTATCAGGAACGCATACCTTGCTAAAATCAAAGTCCCTGTAAAATGCACAGTATAGTGTTAATTTATGTTAGAAATATTTACTTAATCAATTTTCTAGGCTGCCGACATGATCCTGCTTGATGACAACTTCGCGTCAATAGTAACTGGTGTAGAGGAGGGTCGTTTAATCTTCGACAACTTGAAGAAATCAATTGCGTATACCCTAACCTCCAACATTCCCGAAATCTCGCCTTTCCTTGCTTTCATCTTATGCGACATCCCATTGCCACTGGGCACCGTAACTATCCTATGCATCGATCTTGGAACTGACATGGTAAGTTCAACTTTAATTTTTAAATGTTATTGTATATTTTATAAGGTAATGTGTTGTAATTACGTTGTAAGAAGATCAATAATTTACCATTGAAAAGTACAGTATTAAATTTATTTGCAGCAAAATATTTTGATGAAATTTTACAATATTTTTTGTTACTCATGCAATCTTTCATTACAATGTAATTTCACATTACTAATTATTCTTGTTACACACTAAATCCCTTTACAGTTGTTGTTCCGGCATTGTTATATGAAAACAAATTAGTATGTCACATCAATTTTAAATTAAATGATAATTTGGAACAACAGATGTGAAGTTTAACTTAGTAGATATTTTACTTAACATTTGCAGCTAGAAGAAGCCACCAGCTGTAATAATTGAACTCTTTGAATTAAATAAGTGTATGACATAGGTCCCAGCCATCGCGCTAGCTTACGAGGCGGCGGAAGCAGACATTATGAAACGTCCTCCTAGGAACCCATTTTGCGACAAACTAGTCAATGAGAGGTCTCTATTACGTGATTACGCTGTGTTGCCATATAACTAACTCGATTCCAGCTAATACATCGCTGTTGTCTCGATATAGTCTCGAGTGGTTGTTTTCTAATGTGTACCAAATGCGTGAAAGCATAAAGTCTAAATGGATAAAAAAACATTTACTAAAAAATAACAGATTTTTTAAAATTATTTTTAGACTTTATGTTTACATTAACTAAGTGTTAAATTGTAACAAAACTGTAAAAACCATGCAGTTACTTACCCGAAGCAGACCAATAGGCTATGTACCCATTAATACTTCATATTATTTTTGAGCAAAGGGGGAGACTATATATGAGGGGATAAAATAGTGTAAATGTTTGTTTTATTTTCTAATCCTAACTTGTTTATTGCTTATTGACTTTTTTAATAGCCCGTCGGAGAGAGCCTTGTCGACAAACAATAAAATTGTCACGATAAAGGGCTCACGTAATAAAAGGACCAATTATAAGATAACAGACACAACACACTGATGTTACCACATTCATTGTCATTTAGCCCCAATCATTATCCATTGAATTTGAAAATTTATCATTTGTCATCGTGAATTTTCGTAATAACATTCCATTTCATAACTTTTTGTACTTTAAGTTATAAAGAGTCCCGTCTGCCACAACTGAAATCATCTCATAATCTAACATGTTTTTTTTGTGTTAATTTTATTTTCTGTGATAGATTTAAGAGTGACGGTACTTGCAAGCATAAGCCACCCGCTTTGTGTTCGTGATTTTTTAAGTATCCGATGAATAGTCTACGTCCTATTGTATTTACAAATCATGGTCAGCGAACTTATTGGTAGAAATGATGCCGGAGTACATGGTAGCATTAGGTACATAAATTAGTTAATCATGAAAGTCCATTTAAAAACACAATCTCAATATATCTAAATTTCTAATAAATTAAAACCTGCAATATTTCTAATATAACACTGCATTATCATTTACTGGAATTATCAATAAATTTAACAGACCTTATTATCTCAATAAAAACGAAAGAAAACAGCTTCTTTCTTATCTTTATTCGATGGTCATTCGATCAATTTTTATTAATATAAAGATTTCATCCATGTTTAAATCATATATGTAAAAATGAATGAAATTAAAATTTACACTTGCTGCACCTACTAATGAACAAATGAGATGTGACTTGAGTTTATTGTTTAATAGATCTATACTTATACCGTAAAATATTTTAAACGTGGATTATAGAAGGTATTAAATAACTTCAGTATTGTTTAGCTAAAATTAACCGAACTATTTTCATCTGTAATGAGACTTACTTACTTGTCTTTATTAGAATCGAATGTTATTTATAATCAAATTGGCAATACTTTTAGTCGCTACTAATTGAAAATCTATCGCACTGTAACTCGTGTCTCCGCCGTTTCTAAACAAAATTTTATGACTTTTGGTATTTGATAAAAAAAAAACATCTTGCAAAAAGCCTCAATTCTGCAGGCTGTTGTTACGCCTAAAAAATAGATATTTTCAGTCATAAGTATTAAATTGAGGCATCGTTTGTAAGCAATTTGACGTTAACTAGATCTATGTTAATATTCGTCTTCCGTTTCAATAGTTAAAGAGAACTTTGGATGATGATATAAGTGCAATAGCTGATAGGCTGTAGCAAATGTTGTACCGCAATGTCAGTGTGGCGTCTGCTTGTAATATTGTCGTTGATTGTTCGATGTTGTACTTGTACACACCTGACAATGATGCACCACGCTTTCGTCCGAGTGCGTGAGTAAGTGTCGCTGTGGCGCCGCGACTGCTGTTCGCTCACATCGCTAGTGTTTGTGTAGGTGCCCGCCATTTCCCTGGCTTACGAGGAGGCCGAATCTGACATTATGAAGCGACAGCCGCGTAATCCTTTCACTGATAAACTCGTTAATGAGAGGTAAAGGACCACGAGTGGAGGGACTCGTTCAATGATATTATTCTATCCGCTACTTGCTTGCTACCACCATATTGAGGTTTGGTTGTTGCCTGCAGTGTGACAGTGTCCTGTAGGTACACGAATTTAGCTATCTGTGTTGATATTGAAGGCGACAATCGCACCGCTCCTAACTACTGCCTTGCGATGTCTTTCTATATATTTCTCTTCTAAAGTATCTCCTACTTCCTTTAACTATGTAGCTTGATGTCGCATGGAACAACGTGTAGCGAAAAATGCATTTTTGAGTTCGTAACAAACGCGTTGTTCCATTGCCCAAATTGTGGTTTTATTACTAATATTTATTGCTATGTATGATGTGATCTTTGGAAGGTAAGTTTGGTGTCTCCTTGTCTCTGTCATTTGTCTATCGTGCATGTATGAACACACTTTATTTACAGTTTTACTAATTATTTATTTATTATATCCTTATCGTACTTTATCATTGATTACCTTTCATGAACTCCATGTACACCATACACGATATATATCTGTGAACATCGTTGTCATTCTGTACTACACACAACGCGACAGCTATCGTCACACGCATTTCTCATATGAAACACCACGATCACGCCCCGTGTCTGTTACCTGGTACAGACACTGTATTATACAACATAATCAATATATAAACATTTTGCTAGGTCTTATGTTTTGTAATGTCTATCATTAGAGTAGTATTTCCAACTATATTTTATGTCTCCTCGAGGATAGTAATCCAGCTGCCATGATTTATTTAAATTTTGATCACGCCAATTTTCTCACTTTTATATTTACCTACTAGCTAATTTACGCGTAATATTTTAAGTACTTATACGATAAATAGTTTTATTGTAATTTTCTTAATAATATATAAACACTAGATGTAGATTTAGGTATGAGGCGTAGCCGAGGGGTGTGTGTACGTATATTTATTATGTATAAGTGTGTGCGTGCGAGCGTGGCGCTCGTCGCGCGAGTGTTGCTTTGTCCTGATTGATTGTGTTACTGAAGGTGCCAGCTATATCGTTGGCGTACGAGGCGCCCGAGTCCGATATCATGAAGCGGCAGCCGCGGGACCCTTACCGCGACAACCTCGTCAACAGAAGGTTGGCCCCGCACCACACCGTCCGCCACCGGCCTCTGCGCTACTGCGCGCGGCCTACGCTTACTAGATTCTCATTTGGGTGTTAACACCATGAATAGCCAAACTACTAAAATTGTACAAACATAATCAAATTGGTGAGATTTAAAATATTTGAGTGGTGCGGCTACTTGTGATTCAACAGTACCATTTGAAACTGGATGTGGAAGAGTGATTATGTATACCTGAATCCCCACCCTTGTGTGATGCGATTGGCTGTCAACCCCAATCTTTCGTAGTAAAGTCCCTCCTACTAGGAACGAAATAGAGGCCACGCTTTTGAATACAAAATACAAAATAAATATACAAATTCCTAGTAATTATTCTAAGTTTTAAATACATCTATCTTGTTTAAAATTTTCTAGACTAATTAAAGATTACCCTAGAAATAGAAGAGCTAGTACTGTCTTACCTCTGTAATCTTCACTCTTCCATATTTCAATCTTAGTGATTCAAGTTACTAAAATTAGCGATATGCAATGCAGTGTCGAACAGATGCACGTTTAGTAAACAATTTAGAGAAATGTGTAGACTCTGTCATAGAGAGCACTAGTGTTTACTTATTGTGTATCAGTTACGTGTTAGCCATTGTAGAATATAGTGGTGACGATTCATGACAAGTAATGAGTTAAATCAACCGTTTTTGTTGAAGGAATGTCTTAGGCGACATGGAGCATCCCTTTACATTGTAACTTTTTTTTTTAACGATATTTTCTTACTGTAGTACTTTTTAGTTGTTAGTTTATATTATGTAATATATTTATATAGTTGTAGTACGTTGCTCTTGCAAGGTTTACACCGCTGCGAGTGCTTCTGCCCCACCGACACCACACTGGATAGGATTTCTGATTAGCCTGTTTTATAAGTTTTGTTCACATTGGACGCTTAATTTTTACATCTCCAATACTAATCCTGCTGTTCAAAATAGAATGGTCGCTTGTGCTTTCTCTGCCATAGTTTAAATATTCTGCATGCCAAATAATTAACATAAAAATGTTGTGCCATTTAGATATAAATATCGACTACTTCTTTATAAAACAGAATATAAGTTTATGCTAAAGGCGCAAAGTTTCTAAAAATTGACCAAATTTTTGCCGTAGTTATTCTGTTTTACAAAGTATTGAATGCTATATCAACATTATGACAAATTAGGCTTGACCTTTTAATAAAGAAACTCCAGTTTAATTAAAAACATAAACCCGCAATACAATACTCTCTCTTTATTTTTCATATTTAAAAACCTTGTTACATCGTTGCATTATGATTGCATTGCATATGATGCATTTGTAACATATGTGCTAACATTTTAAATGTTAACCTTATTTTTAACCGACTACAAGATAGGAGGAGGTTCTCAATTCGTCGTCATATTTTTTATTAATAAAATAAAAAATATTAGTCCTCCCATTTTGGGATTACCATTATTCACAACTATTCAAAGAGCTGGAAGCCTTGTTTGTCATAAAAGTAGTTGCAAATATAACTGCACAAATGTTTTCTTTGAAAAAAAAATACAAAGTCCCTTAAATGCTTAAATATAATATAATAAAAATATTTTTAAATTACTAAGAATGTCTTGTCACTTGATTGCACTTCAAATTAGAATCTGTTTGCTTGATAAATGTCTTCAATTCAAGTACCATTCAAAATGATCCCTCTTCTAATTGTGTATGTGGGGTGTATACAGGCTTATTTCGATGGCGTATGGTCAGATCGGTATGATCCAAGCCGCCGCTGGTTTCTTCGTGTACTTCGTGATTATGGCTGAAAATGGCTTCTTGCCACTAACACTCTTCGGCATCAGAAAGATGTGGGACTCCAAGGCTATCAACGATTTGACCGACTCCTATGGACAGGAATGGGTAAGTATTCGCTATGACCCAGAGTCTAAATTTAAGAAGTTTTTAATATTAAGAGCAGCTGCAATGGTATATTACTCATACTAGAGTATGATACCGGAGCAACGTTAAAATGCTTGAAGAAACATAAATTCTTGCGCCGTTACAGGTTTTAGCTAAAACCTACTGTACAATTTAAATATCCATATTTGGTTAATCTTGACCTACATTTATTCAGAACAAGTCTTATAAGTTATAAATAAACTCTACATTTGTCTTTTCCAGACTTACCGTGACCGTAAAGCTCTGGAGTTCACCTGTCACACTGCTTTCTTCGTTTCGATCGTCGTAGTACAATGGGCTGATCTGATCATTTGCAAGACCCGTCGTAATTCCATCGTCCACCAGGGCATGCGCAACTGGGCTCTCAACTTTGGTATTATCTTCGAAACGGCGCTTGCTGCATTCCTCTCGTACACCCCTGGAATGGATAAGGGATTAAGGATGTACCCGCTCAAGTGAGTGTTTCAGATATCATGCAGCAGCCCACCCGTTATACACTCGTTCTTGTGTGTTCTTCCGTGTCATTTGTAACGTATCGCACTCATACATAGGTACAAATTTTAATGTAAATTACGAAAACTTAAACGTTCTTCTTACAAAAAAAATTTAAAAGCCAATGTAAAATAATCTCTGAACCACGTCACTTCCCTACCATAGCTTGCTTGTTTTGAAAACAAATGGAGACAATAGGGAGTTTGACTAATTTATTGAATGTAGAATAATAATATTCCGTTCGTAAAACTTACTACGAAAAAACTACAAAATGATAATTACAAGTATAACAGCACGTTTTGACTACACTATGTAATTGTCAATTTTATTTCAACTTAGCTAGCGTGCTTAGTTTCAACATCCCTCCCATATTGGTCGCAACTTATAATGCCTACCAAAGTATCATTTACTCATTATAGACAGAGTTGTAAGGTAAGCTGGTGAAAACTATTTAAAGATATAATGTGTATGTTTTAAAATATATGTGTGAGTACGTATTTGTGTGTGCAGGTTTGTGTGGTGGTTGCCCGCCATTCCATTCATGCTGTCGATCTTCATCTACGACGAGATCCGGCGCTTCTATCTCCGCCGCAACCCCGGCGGCTGGCTCGAACAAGAGACTTACTACTAAACAGCACCGACTACTGTCCACACCGTCGTGCATCAGTTAGTTACTGCGTACATAAAGTTCATTTGTGTTCTTATATCAGACTGACAGAGGTTGCGGTGCCGTTCCGGTATATGTGTAATCGCTGTCGTGTACGCTTCTCACCGCTTGTTACCTACCGCATAGCTCCGCACAGGGGCACCTGTGTATGTACCTGTCGAGTGTTATATATATTATTATGATGTTCGTTTAATGCGTAACGTGACCGAGAGGTGCGGCTGCGCCTGCGCCGGCGCCCGTCGGAGCCGTCGTCCGCGCATCGCTGCGTCTCTAACGAACTATGTATGAATATTTGCACAGTGGAGAATGAAGTTTGATATTTGTGATGATATAAAAATATACACATATTATTTTAGTCGTGAAACATGTTATTTTTGTATCGAGATCGTTTTAAACGTACCTATGGTATCTCGACTGTCATGCGATAATTTATGAATCTCTTGGAATATTTGTTGAATCTCTGTCTGATATAAGTGCGACGTGCCGCCGCGCCACGGCCCGGCCGCGCCTCGCTCTCAGCTCTCAGCTCTCGCGCAAGCGGCCGCCGACTCGGACTTCATGTTACAGTAGTACGCCCTCAGTGACATACTGATGACATTATAAGATAGAGTAAATGTAATACTAATAAAATTGTTTTTCACATACTTATGTAATAAGTAATAAATTATCGTTTAGCGGTAGATGATCGTTCGTGAATCGAGTGGGCAGAAGTATGACGCCCGCCGTGCTCCGTGCTCGGCGGCCAACGAAACGCATTTGTTGTAAAATTAACAGATAAGAAGCCATTATTATTATTATAATTTAAGTAAATTAGATTTAAGTTGATTTTTTCGAGTGAAAAAAAGTTTAGTTAACGATTCGATCGGGTGCATGGTGTATGAGAGGTCGATGTGGAGTGCCTGAGTTTTAGTGTACTACTGCTTACTGTTAGGTAGGTAGTTGAAATTTTGATGCCGTATTTTCAATTGTAAAAGTAGATAAATAAAGCATACACAGTCGCGAACGCTTAGATGAGCGGGCCGACGCGCACGCGCGCGTCTGTGGACACGTTCATACAGCACCGCCGTCGACTATTGTTCGTGGTACTCGTCTGTGTCGTGCCCGCCACGTGCCCCACGTGCCCCACGTGCCCACAGAAACACGACGCTTTTCTTTTCTAAAATAATCAAATTATTAGCGAATTTCGTCAAATTTATTAAAATAGGCTGCTCATGGTAATTATGTAAGATTTTATTTCTTAATTAAAAGATAATAACAAAACGTAGGGATGCGTAATTAGAAATTTTTAAAATTATACAGTTATGATAGAGTCATCTTGTTTTAGTCGCCACTTGGCCCTTGTACGGGCGCGGTCGCCGACGGATCGGCCGCCACTCACGCGGTACAAGGACCAAGTGAAGCGATTCATTTCAATTTTTCGTAACGAATACATATAACATTATAATAATGGTTACAAAAGTAAAATATAACATTATAGCGATTAATAAAATCTAAATTATATGAAATGTTTATAGATTTAAAAGAAGTTCGTTTCTTTAATGTGACATTCTGTGCTTGTTTAATGAGAACGATGTACATCTCACTGACAATAGTCGTTGATGATATTATTGTAATGATCTGATCTTTGTAAGCGGTTTGTTTCATGTACACTGTAGAACTAACATTGTTTTGCGTTCAACAGTTCTTTACACCGATTCATTTTATAGTATTACTCTGTTGGCTAGGAGCGCTGTAAAAATGTAAGTGTTAATAAAAAAACATTTTCAAAATACTACTGTGTTGTTTTATTAAGTTTCTTTTTTATATGAATTTGGGTTTAAAATTTTCACCTAGAAATCTGTGTAAGTCAGAATTACGGATGTATTGATGCGGAAATGAATATATTATATTACGAAAGGAATGTACCAGCAATGTACTTTATTGAAACAAGAATAATGCTAATAAAGTAAGCCGAAGTGCTGACAGTCAGAGTGACAGGTGAATATTGATAATTATTTAATAAATTTTACAACTTAATACACTTTTGTACATCGGCGGGCTTAATGCCCTGGGCATTCTCTAACAGCGAACCTTTAGGAGGGGTAGAAATCTGGTAAGGTAGGTGCACTAAGGTTACAGGTGTAATAGTATCTATAAAGTTTTAACTAACATATATAATCACACATACACATAAATATACTTAAATACATATACTATATACGGCGGTGCACTATTGATTAGGTAATTCCGCCATCTTAAGAAGGCAAATGTATAAGGGAAATATAATGCGACGAGTAATTAGCGAGAAAAGCATGAAAACAGATTTTGGCGCCTACCGTTCTCAACCATTAAAATGAAAAGAAATATAAACATCCATATTGATAACATATGGATGTTTATATTTCTTTTTGATGTATGTTCGGGCATAACTCCGTCATATATAGACGATTTTCTTTTTTTCTCCGAAAGGGGTTTATATCATATCATTATTCCATCCGAATGATCCCATTTAATTTTCATATACATAGATATGATGATGAGTTTCGGAGACAGACAACGGAACTCTTCAAAAAATGAGAGCAAATCAACCGCGCTTGCTGCTAGGGTTTAGTTCTCTTTGTTACTATTGTTTCAAGTTGGTTCACCTTTTTTTTAAGAATTTATTATTCTTGTTTCATAGCAAAATAAGTAATTTTGGGCTCCGGTAACCTCACTAACTCGGTGAAAAGCTACAAGAGAACTGTTTACTTTTTTTGAAACTGAAATTGGTAACCTATCTCTAATTATATTATAAATATATGATCTCCCCGGAAGTCCTGGAATTGTTTTCCTTCTAACTTCAGGGGCGACAGCAGCCGGGGGGCCGTGGCCACGTTCGTGACGGCGAGGGGTAGTTCGATCGTGGACATCTCGTTCGCATGTCGTTGTCGGGGAGGAGACAGGTTCGGATCACCGATATATTCGGTTTGACGTCTCCGCCCCTACAGATGGCGCGCCGGTCAGACCGGCACCACCTGAACCACGTTGGGCGCTCAAGCGCTTAGATCGCGACCTCCTCCTGGAAGCCGCCATCGTACAGGCCTGGGCCCCTGCGCCGGACAGGCCTGTCGACGTCGATGCTGAGGCACAGTGGTTCCGGGAGGCCATGACCCGCGTCTGCGATGCGGCGATGCCTAGGGCTCAGCCCAATACTGCGAGGCGCCGGGTCTACTGGTGGTCACCGGAGATCGCACAGCACAGCAAGCCTGTGTGACCGCGCGCCGCCAGTGGTCCAGGATCCGCAGGAGGCGTCGCCGCCACGAAGATGCGGCAGCGAGAGAGGCGGAGCTGTTAGCGGGTTACAGGGTTGCCAAGAGGACCCTTCAGGCAGCGATAAAGCGGGCCAAGAGCGAGGCCCGCCGCGAAATGCTGGAGACGCTGGAGCGGGATCCGTGGGGACGCCCCTACCGTATGGTTAGGGGCAAGATGCGCCCATGGGCCCCGCCGCTCACCCGGTGTCTTCAGCCAACGCTGCTTGAGAGGGTCGTTGGCTCCCTGTTCCCAACGCGAGTGGTGGAGCATACTCCGCCACAGATAGCTCCGCCTCCGGCGCTTGAGGCGCCTAACGTGGATGACGACGACGTGCCTGAGGTCACTGGGGTGGAACTAAGGGTGGCGGTGTTACGGCTTAAAGCTAAAAACAACGCCCCGGGATCCGATGGCATTCCTGGCCGAGCGTGGGTCCTGGCCTTAGTCGACGAGGCTCTCGAGCCCCGACTGCGAGGGTTCTTCAGCGCATGCCTCGAGCGGGGCCAGTTTCCGAAATTGTGGAAGACGGGGAAACTGGTCCTCATCCGAAAGGCTCTTTGAAAGAGTGATTGCGAGGCCGTCAAGCATCTCGTGATGATGGGGCCGGATCTGGCGGACAACCGGTTTCCGGTTTCCGTCAGGGGCGCTCCATCGTGGATGCGATCATGCGCGTGAAGGCTCTGGCGGAGGAAGCAGTTTCCCGGGGCGAAGTGGTGTTGGTGGTGTCCTTGGACATCGCCAACGCATTCAACACTCTGCCCTGGAGATGCATCAGGGAGGCGAGGTATCACGAAGTGCCTCTCTACCTCCGCCGCATAGTCGGGGCATATTTGTCGGAGAGAGCCGTCGTCTACCCCAGTAGGACCGGTCTCGGTAGGCGTGAAATGTCGTGCGGTGTTCCGCAGGGGTCGGTATTAGGGCCACTCTTGTGGAACATCGGCTACGACTGGGTGCTTCGTGGTGCCTTCTTGGATGGTGTCGCCGTCGTGTGCTACGCGGATGACACACTCGTGACTTGGGCAACCCCGAGGGCCACGGCCGGGGTTGCCCAAGTCGTTGAGCGAATCCGGCGGCTGGGTCTCGAGGTGGCTCTGCACAAGTCCAAGGCCCTGTTCTTCCACGGGCTTCGGAGGAAGCCGCCTGAGGAATCTAGCCTCACGGTAGGAGGCACTCGCATAGGCATCGAGCCCTCGATCAGGTATCTGGGGCTCGTACTCGATGGCCGATGGGACTTCGGATATCATTTCCGAGGTCTGGTCCCCAAGTTGGTTGGGGCAGCACGTGCGTTGGCGCGGCTGCTGCCCAACATGAAGGGACCCGATGACTGCTGCAGGAGACTCTACTCGGGGGTTGTGCGGTCCATGGCCCTTTACAGGTGCCCAGTATGGGCGGGGGCCCTGAATGCCAGCAACGTCGCGATACTGCGACGACCGCAGAGAGTGCTGGCCATCAGGATCATAAGGGGGTACCGCACGATCTCCTTTGAGGCAGCGAGTCTCCTGGCCGGAACTCCACCGTGGGACCTGGAGGCGAGAGCCCTTGCGGCTCTGTATCAGTGGCGCAAGGAGGCGTGGGAGTTGGGTCGGTGCCCCGAGATTCGAGAAATCGATGACCGGAAAGCCCAACTCCGCCAGGTCATCATAGGGGAGTGGAGGGAACGACTCGGGCAAACGAGCGCTGGGCACGCCGTCATCGCGGCGGTAAGACCCGTTATGGAGGATTGGCTCGAGAGGCGTCACGGGACCCTCTCATACCGACTGACGCAGGTGATCACTGGGAAAGGATGTTTCGGGGATCACCTGTGTCTGATCCGCGAGGAGCCAACGCCTGAGTGCCACCACTGCGATGGCCAGACCGTGGACACGGCTCTCCACACGCTGGCAGAGTGCCCGGCGTGGGTTGAGCAGAGGCGAGACCTCGTGGCGGCCATCGGAGTGGGAGTTCTCTCGCTCGATAGCCTGATTGCGGCTATCGTGCGGAGCGAGAGTGCGTGGAACTCTGCCGTCTCCTTCTGCGAGCAAGTCATGCTCGCGAAGGAGACGGCGGAGCGGGACCGGGAGAGGTTTAGGACTCTCCCGGCCCGCCAAGCCCGGGAACGGGCTAGGTCGACAGCAGTGAGTTCATGGTGACGACTTGTCGACTTGGTGTGATCTTTTCATGAGAACCATTCCAGTGCTTCAGTCGAGACTACAAGATAGGAAAGGATAGATGAAAGGTTACCGTGATTGACGGTATTGAAGGCATTTGAGAAGTCGACCAGTACTAAAACAGTGACCTTTGTGTCCTCCATACCCGCCGTAATATCGTCAGTCACTTTAAGGAGAGTTGTTAATATGACCAGGCCTACACCAGATTGCAACACACAGGATTCTAGAACATCGGTTCGGAAAAGTTAGAATTAATATTGGTCTGAAATGATTGGGGAGTGTGTGCGATTTCTACTTTTAGGTAAGGGAATGACAAGCTTTGGACACCGGAATATAAGGAGTAGTTTATAATATGTGAGATTAATCTATACAAATAAATAAAATTGGAGTGTCTGTTTGTAATATTAAAATAACCGCTTTTTACTAAATGCATATGTATGTTTACACGGTACATAGGCCAAAATAACATTTTTTACAATTTTTGTCTGTCTGTCTGTCTGTTTGTTCCGGGTAATCTCTGGAACGGCTGGACCGATTTCGACGGGACTTTTACTGGCAGATAGCTGATGACATAAGGGGTAACTTAGGCTACTTTTTTCAGACTAGCTTCGCCCCGCGGCGTTGCCCGTTAAAAACAACAAACGCGGGTAACACCGCGGGTCTAAGCTAGTTAGGTATATATTTATTCGTTTCAGACCTACTACATAGATTAGACACAGTCAAACAAATATGTCACTAACACTAGAGAATGCAAGCTGACAGCGTTTCACTCACAAATGGTCCAGCAATCCCTTACTATTCACTTACTTACTTATTGGGTCTTGTTGATCTCCTGTCTAATCCACCCTCACTTTCGTGATATTTACATAGGAATGTATATTGTTGTTGTAAGTTGCGGGTAGTGGTTAATTAAGTAAATTTATAAAATTTATCATACAACCTTTATGTGGTATCCTCGGTACACTCACCTGCCTTGCTTTTTTTTGTAGTAATTTGTATAATTACTAGTAAATTTGTATTTAATGTTGATTTATTAGTTTTTTTTTTGTTAGAGGGGGCAGACGAGCAGACTAGTCACCTGATGGAAAGTGACCAACCCCGCCCATGAACGCCTGCAACTCAGGAGTCACAAACGCTCTTTTCTTGACGGTTTGAAGGTCGTATTGGTCCGGAAATACCGCAGATGATAACCCGATTGGTTGTGCGGGGCAAAAAGTGTCTGGAAAAGCGCACAGTAGTGGAGCGCCAGAACTATCCAGGTAATGAGGACAAAAAATTTGCGGTGTTTAGTCCGAACAATTCCTCGGAGCACTCTCCGTGATATTTGCGATAGAGAATGCAGAGAGAAGCCACATCACTCCGTAACGCCAAGGGATCGAGCCGATCGGAGATGTTTGGGCTATCGAGGATTCGCATAACTCTTCGTTGAATGCGGTCCAGAGGTGCCCCTGCATAGAGATGAGACCAGTATTCCATATGCGGCCGGACTTGCGCCTTATAGAGCTGAAGGCGGTGAGCCGGAGTGAAATACTGCCTCGATCTGTTTAGCACACCGAGCTTCTTCGAGGCCAATTTGACCTTACCTTCTACGTGACCCCGAAACTGGACTTCGCTCGATATGTCGATGCCTAGGATTCCGGCTGGCTGAGGCAGTTAGGGCGGTGCTCTCAAACTGAGGTGTGATGAGTTTGTTTAGGTACCTACTAGTTTCCATTTTCTGGACAACAGAAACCACAGCATTGCCTAAAATGACGATTAGTTAAAATTAAATACATAATATAATCTAGAATATATACAGTGTACTACATATCTAGGTATAGGAATTGGATACAAGATTTATAGTATTACTTCGTATTGTTATCAATTTACTGTAAATATAAAACAAGTAGCTACATGTCAGCGCCTGTAGTGCGATCCATTTAATTATTTAGTTTCTTGTGATAAAAAGTACAGTCAGGTCCAAAAATATCCATTCGCAACAATTCTACAGGAATGTGTTAGAGTGGATATTGAAATTCCGAAACTATCAATATATAGACCAAATATGATTGATTAGTGCAATACAGCCATTCTATTAAATAAGTTGATAGGGTTATGTGTGAATAATAATAAAACGTGTAATAAAACAAAAATAAATTGCCTGGATTTTTTAAGAGGAGAAAGTGAAGAAACCATGAAATAGTTTTCACTAAAATATCCTACCCTTCGGACCACCTTGTCGTGGTGTCATCGGAGCTTTTTACTTTATTATTTTGTTGTTAAATTACTACCCATCTTCGAATATATGCACAATACGATGACGAATTTACGCGTCTATACGGTGCTAGGTATGATTCGATGAAAAGTATATCTATTCGCGTATGACAAAATTGTAGTTCTTAATAACTCCGGCTTGAAACTCATAAACAAATGTCGCATGGTATGGATAGCAACAAATATCAAGTACTATTTCCGTTAACTTCTATTGGGGCGCGCGATAAGTTATTAATTATAGTGATAACCCAAAGTTTATTATTTAAGAGGAAACTCTAATGTATTTAAAAAAAAACCCACATTTTGTAATCTGTTATTTTTTTTAAATAGGTACACAAGAAATGATAGTACTTATAACTCTACCGACGAAAATAGTGTGCATATTCTTATATTACCTTAAGATTAAACTGGAGCTTAATTTTCAAGCTATTTATTCAGTTACATTCATTCCAACTAAGTACAGTTCAAATGTTTTTAAAGTAATTTTAAAGGAGTACTATAATATAGATTTATAAATTTACAATGCACACAATTATTGTCGTCACTACGTACCTAATATGAAAGTTTGTGACACGCAGCTTTTTATTGCATCAAACTAAAATTATTCCGAAAAATAATTTCTTTAGACAAAAGTATCACAATGACGAGAAATGATTATGAATAGTATAATTGAATAAAATATTTTATCTGATATATTTTGCAACTGCGCGCCTTAAAGTTTAGTTTTACAAATTCTGGAGTGTCCAAAAAAAACAAATTAACAGAATATAATACCAACTGAATTATAGTGTCATACATTTTTCTTACTCTGATAACATTTACATTATGTAATTAACGTTCCGTTTAGAATTAATTATAGAAAATAGATTATATGTCTATTAAGAAAACACCCGACAATTGAAAATCTTTCATTACGAATGTATGTAGGTATGTAGACCACTGCAAATGTAATATATAAGGTACCGACTGTACAATGAGGTTAGTAAAGCGTTTTATCTATGTACTCAATCTGTAGATTTAAGCGAAGGGTCGGCGAGGGCACGTGCCGCCCTCGGCCTTGACGACAAGCTCCAGGTAACTATACACATCTGTATAGAAAGGTACACCTGTAAGCTAAGTCCTTCGTCCTATAGCCGCGCAGAATATTCCACACACCCCGTCGTGCCTCTCGGCCATCACGCAGGCGCGTGGCTTTGACAGCCCGACCGAGCCGACACGTCCCAATTATTTTCCTCAGTTCATTTTTCTGTCGCGTATTTAAACATAAAGAGAAAACAATAAAGGTTTATTACTTGGAAGAATCACAACGGCGGCAACGTAAAACGGTGGTGCGCAGCGATGCGCTCCGGGGGCTTGCAGTGAGCGAGAATGGTGGCCACCATTGGCATCATTAACCCGACTAATGGTAAACATGTTTGACACAAGGTCGTGAGCCCATTTTACGAATTATCACTTAAGTGTGGTGTGTGGTACAGTGGAGGCGAGCGCTTATATCAGCGCAGTAGCTGCCTTCGCCGGTGTGGTGCTCGTGGTGCTCTTGTTCCTGGGACGACGCTGGTGCTACTCAGCTGTGTTTGGCCGCAAATGCTGTGATGACATCCTCGCAGTGAACGCTCGCGTGCAAGTCCCCTGCCTCACGCTCGACAATGCTCAGTTTGGTAAGCGAATAAAGCTTTATTCTGCTTCTGTGTTAATAAGCTAATGTATGTCTAATTCATATTTATTAGCCATAATGATTTTCTTTGTTGCTAATATGATAGTTGTTCGAAATATCGAAGTTTAAAGTATGTCACCATTAATCGTTTTGTATTCTATAGAGTTATGAACTCCTTACCTGTATAAATAAACCTATGCTTATCGATTTTATGATTACTGAATTATTAACATTTCGATTTCGTTATAGAGAAAAGCCATTTGTGGCAATCATTGTGTAGTACAGAAAGAACTAATATTTTCTTAGTGTCTAATGTACCGTCAAGGGCGACGTGTGCGTCACGAAGGTCTCGTATAAAATTTCTTTGTTTAACTAGTTATTTGTAGGTGTTTGTTTACATACATACTTACTAGATATTTGTATATTTATATATGTCAGTAGTGGACGTACAGGTTTTCGGTAGTTGTTAGTGACAAAGGTCTACTTTCGTAGCTTTAGCTGGGGTTAGGGCCATATTGTATATCCATTGACGTTGTCCGTACGTCTGTGTTGTTATAGATGCTTTGTCGAAACCGAACCATTACCCCGAACGAATATTCACGTTCGAGGCTTCCGACTCGGATGAAGAGCTGCGTATGCGCATCCAACAGGTGAGACCGACACGATCGAGATTTGAATTAGATCTTTTTCCGCTGGCTCGTACACGCTTTTATTTAGTTTTTGTTTGTGTTCTGTGTATGTGGCAATGAACTTATCGTACCTCTTAAAGACTATGCATTAAGTCTCGTACGTAGAGTGATCATTTTAATTATAAAACTTTCAAGTACTAGGCATAAACCTTGTTACATACGGAATACGGTCTATTTACCTCTTTCTATACACATATGAGTATAGATAAATTTGACTTCACTGATAATCGACCCCCTGTTAATTGGGTGAAATGCGTGGAACCTAAAGAGACCGCTCAGTATCGCTCATATTTTTAAATACTTTTATAATCCTTTATAATGAATGTTGCGTATCATATTCTAAGTTAATCATTACAATAAAAAATATTATGTCGATATTCTCTACCACCCTCTATATCTTCCATTTGTTTAATATTAAATTACACCATGGAACATGTGATAAACTTGTAAATCATCCCATGGTATGCAATTGATTAGTTTCAATACTTAATTAGGGTTTCATAAAGGCCTGTATCTTAGAAAATATAGTGTTTTATTTATTTTTAATGGCGTTAATACGAGCATGACCCTTTGTTGACCTGTATAGATATTATATAAATATAGTACATGTATGTTTTCGATAAGCAACAGAGAAGTAATAATATTATAATCCGAAATTAATGTAATTGTATGTCATGTAACGTGAAAATTTCATACAAAATATCATTTAGCAGACCTACAGCGGTTATCACCCATTATCATGTTTTTAAGGAATATTTTATAATTATCAATATTATTAATCCCCAAAAGATGAATAATTAATTAATGAAAGTAATTATTCTAACATACAAAACAATCAATTTTTTTGGAGCACAATAAATATTTTATCAATTCGATTAGACGAGCTACGAATATGCGGCCCTGACCTGCTACTAACAATATAAATATCGCTCCCTTATCCATCCACATAAGCAATACCTACTTTCCCTCTTATCTACCCTTCCCACCTGAATCCCCATTGCCTAACTCCCAATTATCCCATCTAAATCCTAAAGTGCCCAATGGACATCATTAAGGTAGCCTATTACGCGTATCCACGCGGATATAGGTGTGACGGTATGATGTAATGGCTATTCTTAATATATAACAATCAATGTTTGTTTGTTTGTATTTTATGCGCTGCCATGCTATCATCATGAAATTTTAAGTACAATATGATGATCAGGAAGAATACTTTTCATCCATAAAACATATGTTCCCGAGGCATGGAAAAATATTTTTATGATAGCCTTAGGCAATAACTGAAACACTCGTTTGTATACATAGAAAAAAATATTAGGAAAATTCAACATTTCTAGAATAACAATAAAATAATAATACCACAAAGTTTACGATTATTCACCCAACATTTAAAAGATTTGTATTATTTGCTACAAGAAAGATTTTTTATAATTCTCCAAGACTAATACCAAAACAAAATCTCAATAACATCTTATATAGGTACCTACTGCTTGACATACAATCAAATAATGTTCTCTTCATTTGCCCCAAAAACAGCAGAACAATTTATATTGTAAATTCTCCTCAGGATAAGGAAGAAGTGGAATGCCACTATGAAGAGAAGAATGAGAATGCGAGCTCATCGAAACTGGAAGTGGAACTTGTAGAGACAGCGTTAAGGGAGACCACGCTCCGGGAAACGAAGATCGACGAGGTGCTGCCAAAAAGAGTCGAATATATACACACCCTTGAAGCACAGAGCAGCGTCGATAGTGATGTTATTGCCCATAATGTAAGTTACTCTACAACAGAAGCATCGAACTTAAACCGTAACTTTTGCAGCATTTTCCGTGTCACCTACGACCCTGCTTAATAATGATTACTTAATAATGCATAATTTCTAAAGATAACTGAAAAGATTCCAAGGACAAATAAGTTTTACGTTTTGATTACTTTACGTGTTGATCTATCCCACAAAAAGATATTATGTTCACCCTTCACAATTCTCCAGTAAGAAATAAATAGGCATAAAATTATGTCTACGCATACTTTATCCCTATTTATTTCTTACAGTCCATTTATATGATTTATTTGCGTGTAAAATTGTAAAACTTAATTATCTTATCAAAACAAGTGGATCTAATAGAAATACGTTTGCAAGCCGCAAATGTCCTGTACTAAAATCTGAAACACGTATCTCTGTAATCTAGAGCACAGAGCTTTCTTAGAGCATTTCTTAATGTCACTCGTATAGAACATGGAAAGAAGATAATTTTCTAGTGTCATCGAAACAAAAGATATCTTCGGTGAATTTAATAGTATTAAATTGTAATGGGAGTAAGATATATGACAATCTAAAGAGGTATGGTATTAAATTAATACCATACCTCTTTAGATTGTCATATATCTTACTATCACTATCTTTGTAAAGCTACACACGTAACTAAAGGTAATTTCCATTAGGACTGGTAAGTCTAAAAAGTAGGGGTCAAAACTATTGTAGTGCTTCGTTACTAATTACTTTTTACAAGGTCGATCAATATCTTGACGCGTCATAAAAGTCCGTCCATGAACTTTATTGGTAATATTTTAGAGGTGGTAGTTGGATAGAGAGTAGCGAAAGGTTATAAAACATGATTAATAAATATTACGTAATAAACGTTACTCAAATTAGTAACTAAGTGTAGGTGACACCTTTTATTTAGGGCCTTTAGTGAAAGTGAGAAGAAGTGTCCCATCCCATTTTAATACACACACACACACACGCACACAGTATCATTTTAAATTTTACACAATGACGGAAAAAGAAAACAAGACCCACCCCTGGCTTCGGAGGGCACGTTAAGCCTTCGGTCCCGGTTGCTATACGAACATCTGTGGCAGCCTTACGGGTAGTTGCAGCCCTAAAAAGTTCGAAAACAGTGTATCTACAGAACTTCGATATCTCCTATTGTAGAGATCTGATGGCAGTCGCTCTACAGGTGATACAAAGGCTCGGAGGATGATGAGGCAAAGAACTTTGCTAATATAAATGTACTTACTAATCATTATGTACGCAGCGGACAGACGAATGACTCGTGAAATGGTGTCACTAGACCGTTTGGCCTTGTCAGTATCGTAAACTTGGTATACTGGCGTAACATATAAACGGTCTCCTTATCGTCATGTCCCCGAAATTTGTGTTCGAATTTTATGTTTTAGTGTAGCGAGATTGACATTACTTACTGCAATATCGATGTATTGGCAATACTAATATCACTATGAATGAAGTCGTTTGTTGTTACAACAACATAAAAATATTAGCTATGCTAGTGTTTATACATATTCCAGATTAAATACCAGGTTTTATGTTTATTAAGTCTTAACATATACTCAAACTGTACGATGTCTGGTATAAGTATAGACAAAATCCACACTTTTGCCTCTATCATCACCACAAGCTTCGTCTACTATCTTTAAATATTTCACGGGACTAAATCAGTTTGAGGGACTTCTGACTTGACCTCATCAAAACTTTAACATCAAAAACGCATATGAAGAGTATTTTTTAATTAATGTATAGAATATCACAGAGAAAGATAGTAATTAATTAGAATATTTTTTGTTTTCTCAGGATCATTATGTATTTCCAACGTAGATTAAAAGAAGTTTGGAAGAATGGAAGTTTTCGGTCGATGATTAATCAATGCATATTTACTCATTAGCTTCCTCCTTTTTTACTAGATTGTCAAAACAAAGTCACTGCTCAACTGTTTAATAACACTCCATTTATACTTTGCTATCCACCATTCAATTCTTTTTTAGACCTCTATTGTAACCATCTTGAAAAACAAACAATTAAAGTTTCATATCTTCCGTATTCATGAACCAGAATCAAGGAATCAGATCTTTCAATCAAAAAGAATTTCTTGGTGCCCAATTTTTTGTAGGATCCATAAAAAACCCTTATTATTGGCTACTGAACTACTGAAGTCTATTTTACCGAGGCCAACTTAGTTTTCTTCTATAATAGTACACGATGTGCGTCGCAAAATACCTTCATATTTAAAAAAAAATAACTGGTTGATTTTTCAACGATATAATTCGGGTTAAAAGTATTAGTTTAACAATAAATAAGAGGTTAGTGTGAGAAAAAACGATGAAATTGAGTTCCTTAAGTCAAATTTATTAGAAACTTTACGAGAAAACACGCTTTTATCTCCAACTAATCGCGATTTTTCGCCCTTTATTTTCACTCTTTCTCATAGAAAATCCATTCGGGGCTTGAATTATAGCTTTAATTACTGTTTTATTTTGTAAAAAAAAGTATTAAAAGCGAAAAAGTATTTGCGTCGTAGAACAATATTAAGCTTCCGCATAATTTGCGAAAATGTAAAAATGGGTACTTCGGAAAAACCGTGCATGATCGGAAAGCTTCCTAGGGCAATTTAAAAAAATGGCATTTTTTCGTTAAGAGTTGCTCTACAACCTCTACATACTCGTAAGTATAAATTTCCCAGATGCATGAACGTAAAGAACGTGAAAAACGTAAAGAAAATCGAGCGCCGCGAACGGCGAGATAGAAAGTTCACACACCACGCTCCCTCTGCCGCCTACTAGGAGCGCTCGCGAAAATATCGCTTGATATTCTTTAAGTTAAAAGGGTAAAAAGGGTAAAAAAAGAAGGTACCAAAAATGTTATTGGGTTAAAAAGTTGATTTCGTTTATTATTAACATGATTAAATGGTTTCTTTTACTGTGCAGGACACATCCCTGCTCTGCGGTGAAAGTAGCAGCAGTCAAGAGCGTGGTACAATAGAATTGACCATATTGTATGACGCACCTGTGAGAAGTATGACGGTACATATACTACAAGCCCGAACCTTACCACAAAAGACTGAGGGACAAATACTCCAAAGCCAGGTAATTTTAAGCGTCTCGTTGGACAAAATTTGATAAAATGAAACACGGAGAAAAATAGATTTTGTCAAAAAAAAACGAATAACGAATTCTCTTGGCGCTTATAAGACTATAAAATAACGTTGCGTTAGGGTACGCAACGCGTAAGCGTTATAACGCTCATGTTAATCGAGAATTACTACTTGAAGAATGCATTGCAACTTCTCAGCATGTTACAGTGACACCCACTTTCGGTTTAAACAATCGAAAACGATGATCTATTTCCCATATCCGATATATTAATCTGTTCTAAGGAGATAAATCTGAAGTAGGCAAATAATATTTATGATTTATTATTTTCAGGTTCGAGTTGTTTTACTGCCGCTGAAGAAACAAAAATACAAGTCGAAAATAAGAAACGGTGAAAATCCACAGTACATGGAAAGTTTTGTTTTCCACAAGATTAATCCAGGTACTTAACGGACCACCACTTTATTCCTTTTTTGCACTAAATATACTTTCTTACAGCTTATCTGCACTGCATTTACATGACACTCCTGAGTAATTCAAAGGTTACAAATGTTTAATGGTAGTTCGATTTAAATTGTTTTGTTAAAACTAAGAACATCCCAGTAGAGTGTAAATTCTTAAAAGTATACGACGCTAGTTTAACTATCAACAAGTATGTCTTATACACATCTGCCCTTGCCCTTCAAAAATAAGTTTGTGATATATCAATGTTTATAACCCCCCCCCCCTCCCCCGCCCCTGTCCTTTGCCATTTTTTTAATTACTAACAATAATTGTCGTAGAGGATGTACACGGTCTGGGTCTACGTGTCCGCATCTATGGCTGCGAGCGCATGCGCCGTCAGCGTCTGCTGGGAGAAGCGGGTGTCTATTTCGCTACGTTGAATCTGGAGTTAGAGAACCACTTGTGGTTACAACTCACGCCCAGGCAACATGTGCAACCAAACCTTCAGGTATGAATTAACATATTCAACCATTATTTTCTATAGTCTTGTGCCTGCTCGCTCACTCCAAAGATCGCTCCGAACTAGTTCAGTTCGGATAACGAACTATTTCACTATAATAGTTTTATTAGTTCTATTAGTATAATAGTTTTATAATTCTAACCACTCTAACAAATGTTTATAAACCACTCAGACAGAAATGTTTTTTGGCATATACTACTTTCAATGACCGACACTTCAAATAGATATGATATTATTTATAATAAATTATTTATAATTGTTTTACCGATGAACTGTGAAGTATTTACTGCATAGGTTGCTTACTAGAATTAGAGGATTGCTTAAATAGATAAAACTTCGGTGGAGATGGTGTTAATGAAAGAAGCGAGCAATATCATAATAATAAACAAATTAAAATCTAATGTCGAATTGTAGAATAAATATACCTACACGTCATATATGTGTGCATATTAGATTTTTCTTCATACTTTAACAGGCTTAGGACTGTCGCTCTAATTTATATCCTCCATACTTTTGGCTTTCAGGTGGTATTAATTTCTAACAGAATACGTGAACAATGTTGGTAACTTAATTACTTATTTTTATTAGTAGGCGTATTTAAAAATCAAATATGTACAACGATTCAATATTTTCTGGAACTCTTTTTATGTGTTTTAGATTTATTTTACTATTATTAAATTACGCATCATACACGAATTTGTCAGTCTTGCCTTTTGTAGGCTTTAATAGTAATTACTTGTCCTGAACTGAAAAATACGCGTTCACAGGAAACAGAGCTGGCCTGAATCCAGTCTTTTCAACGCCACTTGGTAGAGATGGGGATAAATATACTTTTGTGTGGTTGTGCCACCACTGGATCTTTCTTTCTATTTATTAGATCCTCAGTTAGGTATCTGTCCAGTTCTCTTATACCTACAGATACAGTGCTTTCGGAACGAGTAACGCGTGGTACATCCATATCGAACTCTAACGAGGGGAATAAGATTGATAATGTTTGTAAATATTACTTTGCTGTTTTGGTAAGTTATCGAGTGCTGTCGTGCTTGAATCTCACTTAGTCTCTACGAGTATAGTATCGACGTGAACTTACGTAACCTTAGTCCTAATACAAACACTTAGTTTAGCTAAAGAGGTTACTAATGATACCCATTTGTAACTATAGGTTATAGGTGCTTATTTTTGTATTACTATTTTCTCGTGTTTTGTACCTCTAGCTTCCAAAATTAGAATTGAACCACTCGCACTCTATACCTGGAGTACTCGCAAGCCCATCATCCATCACCACTGTCACAACTCCTGGCGCCACTGCCGCGGGAGGCGAGGCCAACAGCCTGCCGAGGTCCGACTCCGCATCGTCTTGCTGCAGCGCAAGATCAGCTCCCGAGCTGCTGCTGGGTCTGCAATATAACTCTAGCACTGGACATCTGTCGGTAGAAGTAAGTCCACATAATAAACTTCGTTTATCCTGACCTTCTAATCCTAACTAATACTACAAATGTGGCAGTGGAGTTCTTTGTTTGTTACGCTTTCATATCTTAACTATTAACCCTTTCGTCATACATAAATTCTTACCTTTAGAAAAAAGCTATTATTCCAAGTGATAGAAACAAAAGAAATGTACGAAAAAAGCCACTTAATATTTCAAATTAATGGAAATTGTCTGTCTATATATCAAATTGATATCGGTCACTTTTTTCATATTAAAATCAATAGTTTTTTTTTATTTCCGTCGCTGTCGTACCGTTAATCCCAGAACCATTTAATTTTGGGTCCAAAGAGTACAGCGAAGAATATCTCACACCTTTTCTGGGCGGAAATCCCTTCGGATACCACCTACTGGTTATGTTATCGAACCGACCAAAAACCAGTATTTCGGGTACCAGTAGCCGGGGAACAAGGTGTACCCTATAAAGGAAACCCCTGGTATCCCGACGTACCTCGGGCCATCTATGTAGTAGTAGTAGTAGTAGATCAGTTGATGACCCCCATGTTCCCTTTGTGCTCCTGAAAAGATTTACTTGCAAAAATATCTGTAATTTCAATTCGAAACGTGACACATACACGTGAAACCTTGACACCTCGGCCGAATATTTTTTTTCTCAAAGATGGAAAAATTACTTTTACGTAAGCAAAGTTGCGACAAAAAGTTAGTTATAATACATGATCTTACTGGACTTTTACTATCGGACTTGTTAAAGCAATTTAAAATAATGCAGGTATTAGTAGAATGTTTGAATCGTGGACCAGTGGCAGTGAACTTCGATACTGCTGTCGTCTCTGTTTACTATTGGGACCAAAGCATTTATTTGTAATATGCAGTCCGAGTAGTAAACATCGGCGTCAGTAGTAAGTACAACGTCTTCTCGTCATCGAGGTCTGTATGTCTTTTCTAGTCTTAACTAAAATGTTGAATGTGAATTTAGCTCTGTTGGTTACGTTTTCATGCCTTAAGTAAGTATTCAACCGATTAACATGAAATTGACATCAAGGGAAAGGAAATTGTTTCTGAGGTATAGAAGATATAATATAAGTACATGTTTTGGTATTAAGTTTTCTATTTCAACTTCATTCGAGTAAAAAAATACTTTTTTATTAATCTGCTTAGGAGTGGGTATCGTTATACGTACAAACTTTGATTATTCATAAAATGAGATGATTTCTTCGGGAAATACTACAATAACTACCTTCTAAAAATTGTTATGTAACTTAAAAAAATCTTAAAAGTCTAAACGTCCTCGTCCATTTCTTCTACAGAACGGTTAATTCTCAAAATATTGTTTTCTTCTATTATGTTTGTAGCTGAAGTTCAACAACATTTCAGACAATTTAAAATGTTTTGTTATATTTCATTGACAAATTTATAACATAAAAGTATAATTTAAAAGCTATTTTTCAAGTTTAACTTGATATGTCATTGTATAAAGTTGCAGTACCATAACAGATCAACAGTCACATTAGCTCGATTAGAAACATTAATGTTTCTCATCCCGCTCACAATACCTTTAAAATCATAGTATCTTTGTAATTAAGCAATTGTACAGAGAAGACAGAAAGACAGCAGGATTTTAATTATCTTCAAAAACTTGTTTGCAACATCAATTGTAGCATTAAATATGTGATTGGATTCATCTCACAAGTATTTTGTGCTCCTCTTTAGGTGATTAAAGGAACACACTTCCGCAAGCTGTCGCCGAACAAGGCACCTGACACGTACGTGAAATTGACCCTCATTAGCTCGTTGGGGATGGAGATGGGGCGCTGCAAGTCTACCACACGCCGTGCACAATCCAACCCTCTCTATAAAGAGCTATTTATATTTCAGGTAACAATTTTAAAAGACTACACTCTTATTTTGTAATCCCACGTGATTAAGTAATGAAAAACAGCGTTTGCGTTACTTGCCAAAGATTATGATCGGGTGTATATCATCATCATCATCCAGACTATGTACAACAGTGATGATGATATCAGGCTGATGATGGGGTGTTATATCTCAAAAAATATTATAACATTAATTAAGAAATTAAGCATCAGTATTGAGTTGCTAAAACTATGATTAGGCATTGGCACTTTGATTTGATCATGGGAATCAGTTAAGTGATCTACAAAATCTTATTTATAACAAATAAAATTTTGCTGCTGTTAATTTGAATAAAATTTTGATCAGCCTTTAGAAACCGGGAAGCAAAGTTCTTTTTTTAGCAAACTAAAAACGTTGTCTTATTAAGGTTGCGAATAAAGTAGAAATACAATAATATAAATTATTACAAGTCGAATGAAATACCGTAAGCTTGTGATATAAAAATTGAAAACAATTTTAGGACATTCATGACACATAGAAAGACTTGACAAATTTGAATGAAATGAAGGGCATGTCAATTTTGTGAAAACCCTCCATGATAGTCAGACAGAATGGTACACGCAGGTACTGTCATATTGTGTGATTAACTATACAGTAATGGTAAAAGTAATTATTAATATGTTGGTCGGTGTTGCAGGTGGCTTTATTCCAGCTAAGCGAAGTGACCCTCATGGTATCGGTGTGGTGGCGAAGGAGCGTTAAGCGCAATGAGATGGTCGGTTGGTTCTCTCTTGGGCACTCACCATCTGGAATGGAGGAGGAGAGACACTGGCAGGAACTTTGTGAGCGGCAGGGAGCTGAACAGGTAGACAAATTATAACAAAGACAGACAGTTTTAGATAAGATTACAGTAAATATTCTATCTACTTCTCGCATCGAGACTAACATTGTGATAATTGTAAGACGAATTCAAAATAACGGATTAAAAAAACCATTATATACAGAGGTGTCGGTAGCGGTAACAGTATCGCGAGTTCAATTATTTTTTTTCATCTCAAAAAATGATAAAAAGAAGTTTTCACTTCAACAGATTTGTCGGTAACGGTAACAGTGTCGCTAATTCAATGGTTTTTTTTTTCCGTAAAATACATTCTTTTATATGTTTTTCAAAAATGCACAACGCGCCTAAAGACGTTTTTACTTCCAAAAATATTGCATACCTATCTGAAAAAACAAACTAAGTTTTAATAAAGCAACTGGAAAAATGAATTTCACTTTAATTCGATTCTTGTATTTAACGAAGTGTAGGAGGTGACAACCGAGTAGAGTTTGTTTTTCGGTGCATCGACCTGGTTATTTTTCTAAGCGCAATCCTTATAACGTATATAGATTATGGTCTGGTGATCGTTTAACTGACACCCAACGAGGATATGTAGCAGAAATTAAATGTATAAAAATATAACGTATTAGCTTCAACTAACTACAAAGCTTTTGTCTATTTAGAAATAATGTGGCAGTTAAGTATTCAAACACAATAAGGAACCAGTCTCCAAGGTCACTGCTACTAGAGTCATAGCTTCTTCGGTTCAGTGATTACATTTTGTGCATATTTTTACACCAGGTCCAGCGCTGGCACGTCTTGCTGGATTCCTGACACACGGACACTTAGCGCGTAGCGGAAGCCTTCGCGTGAAGTGATTGCTCGTCCCTCTCCCCGGGCCTCCGGCCGGCCGCACCATCGGTGCTTTTGCGCGTCCCGCGTCCGCCGGCCGTCGACTTGACGTCGTTGCGTTAATAACGTACTCGTTTGATGTTTCGATGCGTGTCGCTTTTGTTGTTATGTCGCACGCAGTTTTACTTTGCCCGTCGAATAATGGTTCCACCATCGTTGTATTTGTTCTGTATCACTGTATTATTCTTGCACCCAGAGCGCACATCTGTCACTAAGGACTCTACTTTTTAACATTTGGGTGTGACTTGATCATCATAAAGACACGTTTGAACTTTTTAATTCTTATAAAATGGTGTGCTATTGTATGTTGGACGGGAATCGTAACATTTAAATATCGTAATTTTCAAGGGAATGTTCTCCCTGCTAATGCTTGTTTTGAAAATACTCATTTAAGATCTCATGTCTCGTGTTTGGAGGATTGGAGATTGAAGTTTTGTAGTATTTATAATGATGATGAAGACTTGGAGCGCACAATACTTGTGAGATAGAATAATTAAACTAGAAAGGATATTTATTGAACATTGATATTATGTACATCCTAAATTATACCTCGAAATACAAACCTTTTCTGGTAACATAGATATAAATATACTCTACATATTATAAATCTGTAATGGAAATAAAATATTCGTAACAAAATTCAAAAACCATTTTCCAGTGATTCTCTTAAATTGGTGACTACGGAACTACATCGCCACTAACCAATAGGTATATATTATATAGTTATTCAAAAATCTTATTCAATTTTATACAAACTAGCTTTGACATTTTCATAGAATTACAACAATCTAATATCTTTATTAAAAGATGAGAGATGAGATGATAGATATATATTCAACTACGAGCCTTAAGAATGTACCATCAGTGGTGAAGTGAAAGATGGTTTCCTTCCCAATTTCGGCGTCGCTTAACAATCTTGTTTAACCAAAAAATATAAAATTGTGAATCACTAATATTGTATCTCAAATTTTTAATTCAAGCTTAAATATAAATATACAAATTAAATGTACCCTAACTGTTCTTAGGTTTTGCCATTGATGTACAAATATATGCAATACCCAATTGTAATATTCAGCAATTGGCTTACTACAGCCATAATGATATTTGAGATTTCTTTTAAGTTTTTAATACACATAATTATTCTTATTTAAAGAAGTTGTATTTTCTTTAAGTTTTTAAAATTCTATAGAGTAAAGATCACCCTTTAATCCCTATGCTTACATTCGCAAAAGATTACTCATTGTCCATGAACAAAAAATTGTTGTGTTTTATGAGTTTGCTACAGAACGAGTAAAAAGTTAAAGATAACGAAATAAAATTTAGAAATAAATTACACGTTCTTGGATGCATTGGATTTTCGTATCAAAAATATTTCTTATGTAGGTAATAAAATTTGGGTATTTAATGATTAAACAAAAATTAAAAAAATAGAAAATGTTGAAACTTTAAGAAGTTTAAACTAGAATGTAACTACATATAAATAACTTATTTTGTCTTTTTATTTGGACAACTAAGTATAAATGTTTAAATGGATGTTATAATGGTAGATATATATTCACCTGATGAATTAACATCAAAGTTTGCATAAGCATGCTTATTTGTTATAATAATCGATGATTATAAATATTTATGTAAAGAGTCGAAAGATTTGCTTATGAGTGGAACAATTATAGGTATATATTATTAATATTGTTATAAGTAAACAAAAAAAGGGAATCTCTTTTAATGGTTTATTGCTATAAAAGTGATACTAGTATACATACATATATTATGTACACACAAATAAGTATTCTGTAGTATTTGGATATTGAAATGAAATGCATATATATCAGAATATATAACGAGTTATAGAAACATAATAATAGTATTTTAATTAGGATGTTTTCCTATATGCCTGCAACTGTGAGATCTAAGTAAAAAACATGTCTTTTAAAACAGTACATTATAAGTAGCTAAACATATTTATTTATGTTATTAACGACAAAAACCTAGTGACTATAATGCAATTTAGACATAAATAGGAATATGCACTCTGACATGTGGACGCAATATTAAAAAAAAACTGTTTTATGCCACCTGTCCTGGCGGCAGCCTGCATCTGTTTCAAATTGCTGAACCTTTCTTTATAAACTGGAATTTCGATCTTTCATTTTTAATTATGGAGAGTAAGTTAAACTTAAACAATGGGATAGTAGAAAGAAGCATTTCCTATTTTATATTATTTTTTGCGTGGCGTCTGGTGGTGGCGTACATATTATATAGATATTATAATATAAATTGAAGCTTTTGGCAATTGGTGTAGTTTAAAATTATATTTTATAATCTCGTATATTTTAAATTTTAGAACCACGAAACTTAGATTTAAGTATTTCCAAAATTCACGCTGCACTGGCGCAGCGGCGATACCGTGTAAATTTTCTGATTAACATTGAAAATATTTAGATATTACTCTTCTCTAAAATTAATAGATTACTATACTTAAAAACAATATAACGTGAGCAAAATCGTGATAAAAGTCAAACTTTTCATAAGCCTACATTATAATCGCATACATATTATATTTCTAGAATAGATAAAAACTGTTTTTCTACATTTTTATATTCTCCCGCATGCAAAAAAAAAACGCTCAGTAAGGCGTAAAAAAGCAATAAAAAATAGTCAAAAATTTTCAAAAAATATAAATAATTATGTTTTTAACTTATTAAGTTCCATAGGAACTTTATAAGTGTATAAGTTTTAACGGCTACGATGAGTACCTATATTTTTCATGCTGACAACTCTTATGATGACGAAAATGCTGGTTAACTATAAACAAATAAAGATTTGATTCCTCCTAAAAATGAAGCGTATGTATAGAGGTGCTGTAGGTAATTCCAAAATAGATGGACGGCGGTAGGTGCGGCTCAACTTTCCAAAATCTTCAGAGCTTCGTTTATAGCCGTAGGCAAATTACGATGACCAATAGTATTATAATATATGTCTTATAATGTCTAAATTCATTAATTCCGATAGTATTTCTCTACACATTTCACCTTGTAAAACAACCAAATAAAGCTTATAGTTGATCATTAGACTCATAGTTGGCAACCGCGCTTTACCAATAAAGGTGGCGGACCCGCTTATTTAACAATATATTTAATGCCACAAACAAAATGAAAGCCAAAAATTATAGTACCTGATAGTATACATGAAAATCATAGCTTAGAAGTATGCAATAACTGTTTAAAAATGTAAAATGCTTTCGTGTACTCATCAAAATTAAAAATTATTTGCATTGTAAATGTGTGCATCAATTGTGTATTACAGATTTGTGCAACTTTCAGAGGACGATGCACTGTCAACTTCTTTTGCCGCTTACTATGAACGTAAATATGTATTACATATATATAGTAATATACAATAACCTAGTTTGTTTGAATTATGGCTGCAATGTTGTTAAACGTCGCACTTAGGTTGCCATAATATATACGAGTATACCACACATACATACACCATGCCAACCCAAGTTCGACGTGGTAGTATCGACCAACTTAGGTTGATATATTTTATTTATTTATTTTATTTTAATACTTTATGCACAAGTGTGGATTGTACAATGGCGGACTTAATGCCACAGTCATTAAGGTGTTTTTAAATTGTCGTTCTTGCAAGCAGTACACTAGTTTGAGCTATATGCATATAGAATATCTAAATTTCTGAATATATCAAATCACATTTAGTGGAGTTATTATATTTACTGTATACAGTTTTTCTTATTTATAATATATTTAATTGTACTCATTTGAAGACGTTACGAACGATGTATCATTATCGATATTTAGTGTAATCATCATCAATTTGTATATTATAAATTAATCAAAGGCCCCAAATTGTTTGGAAAATTTTCAAAGCATAATACATTCTGTTTAGTTTTAAAAGTAACTCGGAATATTTGAAACTCTTTATAAAATTGTAGAAACAAAAAAATATCTTTTGACAATTTGTTCTTCATTTAAATAAATCAGAAAACAGTCTTGTCTTTATTCATACGACTGACGATTTGCACTATGATATTATTATGATATTTAAACGTTGTTACCTATTATAAAACATGTAATGATAATTTCTCAATAAAATCACTTTATACATTTTTCTTAGCCAAATCTTTTATTTATATGTCCCTAAGTCGATCATTTTTGACATAATAGGTACATAGCGCAAAAAATTTAAGGTGATACTGAATCACTAAGATGAATTACAACAAAAGAAGAAGACAGTGCTCTATTTCAATCAAGTCTAAACTAACCTAACTAACCTATATGTGGATTTGAACTGCATTAAAATGTTGAAATTAGCAATTGCAAATATTTGTTTCCTCCACGACTTTATAATGTTAATAAATGTCTAAACAGCTTAATTATGCTCACCTTGCATTTCTAGTTTAGATGGAAAGATAATTGTATTTATTTTAATCATATACTATTGTAATTAGTATGGCGTGACTACCGTTTAAAAACCTCACAATAGACGACATACCTAATTACAGCCGTGGTTTTTATTTTTAGTTTAATGTCATTACATAAAAATAAAGATACATAGTGTAGCATTTGATTCGTCATTCACAATGGTTAAAAGGTTTTGGGTACTTCTGCGTAAATACTGCTTACAAACTACCATAGATGGATTCAAATACTTTTATATATATCCAGATTTCTTATCAAGGTAGGTATTTGAAAATTTTGCGTCAATGTGCTTTCAGATTCTAAAATATTTTTTATACTTTTTCCTCTAGATGTTTTTGGATGCTGAACATGATAACACTAACCATGTTGTCTTTTACTGTCACCTATCTTCTGTACTGGCGCTTTGATCAGATGCCGACTCACGTGACTATTGAAAACCAATTTGAGCCGATAGTGAACTTACCATATCCTACTATAACTTTATGTCCGTCTAACCAAATGACTAAATCCTCCGTGGAGTTCTTCAACCGGTCACTTATGTAAGCTAACATTTGTGGAATATTTATTTATTTTCTTATTTGCTATCGTTATTGTTAAAGTTTTCTGTAAAGGGAATGTAAAGGGCAACGTCAATAAATAATATTGATGCCATGTTAACATTCGTTTTCCCGATATCTGCTTGCGGGAAGGAAACAGCACGATTATTTTTTTTTCACTTAAGGACCTCGGAAAATGTTTATCTTTTAAACGATCAATAGGGCCAGATAACCTGTCCATCAACAGCCTTTAATACGTGGGCGTAATGGGCGTTCCACAGGGTTCTATTCTCGGCCCTTTTTTGTTTTTAGTCTATATTAACGACTTACCTCACATTGTCAAGGACAATCTCGAGATTGTGTTGTTTGCACATAATACATCACTATTATTAAGACTAAAACGGACACTTCCTGATTTCACATTCGTAAACAGCGCCATTTCGAAAGTGGTTCATTGGTTTGACGTCAACAATTTACTATTAAATGAACTAAGTGTATACGTTTCACTATGCCAAACGTCAAGCCAGTGAAAGCTACTGTGATAATTAAGAATGTCGGGCTGGACCTTGTGGACACTACAACATTTTTAGGTATAACACTAGATTCTAAGCTACAGTGGGGCCCACATATTGATAAATTGTTGAGTAGACTCAGCAGCATACGCAGTAAGGAAAGAATTAACAAGAATTAACATAAGATATGTTATCAAAGGCCGGCAACGCGTTTGTGACGCCTGAGCTGAATATTCAAGAGTTAAGTATTAACAAATTTAAATCCCCAATAAAACGTGGCTTGTGCCAGAGGGCCTACTACTCAATTGTGGATTACATGGAAGACAAGAATGCTTGGGATTAATTAGCGCAGGCTATTTCTTTCTTAAGTAAAAATGTGATGTGACTAGTGCGTTCTTTATTATTATTTCTATTTTTTATGTTTCACTTCATTTTCTCTTTTATTCGTTTTTTTTCTTAATCTTGTTTTCTCTTCATTGTCTTTTTACCTTTTAGTCCTTTAACGGGCGGTTGTAGATCGGCACAGGCATATCATAGATTTTGTATGGGTGTCCTGGGAGTTGTTGTCCTGCTTAGTTTGCTCCCTTAATCGGCTCTTACGACATTCCGTACTCTTAATCCGTCACCACACGGACGATGGCCTGTCCATTCAACTTTAATTTCCTTTTCTACTCCGTCACTAAAATATTCGAGAATTTTTGTCAATAGTGTATAAATAATGTTAAGTATTTTAATTTCTAATAAATTTCAGAAAGGGTAATCTGACGATTGATTTGAAATCCATATTACCAACATTACTAGGGTTCTATGAACTAGTCGATAACATAAACGATTATGACTTGGACAAATTGCAGAAGAGTTTTGATCTAAATCGATTTACCGTAAGTTTTTTAGTAGCAAGCTTTTTTTAGTAGGATTGACATAGAGGTAACACACAACAGAGAACCATCATATGTTTTTTTTTTGATTCATGCATTCATGAATCAAACAAAAAAAAAGAACAAAACGTGCATTTCATGGACAGTCATCACATTACATCACTATAGTAAGCAGTACATTTATTGGCTGCATGAAAAACACACTTTAATTTTCTTGTAATTGATTTACGTATTTTTGGGGTGTTTTTAAAAACTACTTTACAGATTCCTGAAGTAATGGGCAGAATACCGTTGAGTTGTGAGCGATTTTTGAAACACTGTTTCTTGGAAGGCGAACTCCATGATTGCAAAAAGATTTTTAAACCTATTTTAACTGTACATGGCTATTGCTGCAGTTTTAATAGTAAATACTATTTCACCGGCAAGAGGTAAAACTATATTTTAGCAATAAATAAAGGTTGTTATACTTTTATTTTTAACGTTATTCTTAAAAAAAACTGAAATTTCATTTAAAAAATGTAGAATCTGAATCCTAACTGATATTATTTATATGAAAGTGAATTCTTATGTTTATAAGGGTTACACGCCTTAACTACTCAACCGATCATCGTGAAATTCGAAATTGAACTCATGCTGTTAGAGGGCCCTTTTTTTCCGTGCGGAAATCCCCTCGGTGTTAGAGGGACCTAAATTTACTTTTATAAAAAAAAAGGGCTATTCCCGAAGGGTACCTAACTTTATTGTCATCTGCTACAGCTGTCTAAATAATATATTTAGATCAGAAAAACTGCTTTAACGGAAGCGATCACAAATTTTCTTTGCAGGGTTACAATCGAACGTAATTTCAAAATAAGAACAATAAGCGCCACTGGTTTAAGCTCTTTTTTCTCTGTAATTTCTGACTATGAGCCAGAGGAGGCTTTTGCAAGTACCATACTGAATGCTGGATCTATACGAGTAACTTGATTTTTTTAATATTTGACACTGTAGTATAATGCTTCTTAGTGCATGCAAAACTTGAATTCAAAACAAGAGAACAAATATTTACAGCAGGTAAATATTTGTTGTCTACAGATACAAAAATGATTCAAGGAGGGATCCGGGAACAGCTAAAAAAAAAAAACAAACCTGTGCTACCCGCGACAGACGTACGACCGGAAGCGGCGACGGCCGCACTGGCCCCGGATTTTAAACCTCTATTTTTTTTTCAATACTATTGTTTATACTGTAAAAAGCAATTATAATCTACATTAAATGCACAACGTATCTAACGTATTTAATTGAATAAGGAATAATAATGTATTGTTTAAAATAGCTCTAGGTTAAAAACCTTGCTCTTGAATCAATCTCTCTATTGGTGAAAAGCACATTAAAATCCGTTTTTTAGTTTAAAAGATCTAAGCGTATGTAAGCGTACAACAAACAAATCTTAACAAATAACAAAAAAGCGACTATATTTTATACTGTGTAAAAATACTTGCATATATGCAATGTATGTATTGGAGACTAAGAGAAATCTGATAAGGTACCATGAGATATGTTTAAGGAGTACTGTTCTAGACAAAGTGTTTTTTTTTAGGTTATGCTGACTGACTGGACAGAGTATCCTTTTGACTACGAAAGCTATCTGGTAGATACGAACGCTGAAAGTTATCTCTTTTTAAGGGCAACTGACACCTATTGCTCTAGCGACGTCCAGCTATTACCCGTGTCGAGGTATATTTTATACTTGACGTATTAAATATCTAGATTAATAAATTCTATTTGGTAATTGCGTGTTACCTCATTAACTACTTCAAGCTTGATTTGCTATATTTAAACTTAAAACTCTTACATACAGAACTTACCCCTGTAATAACACGGCCCAACCAGTAGTCTTGGAAACAATCAAGGGGATCTATGTCATGTCTGACATGTTGTGGATGTCTTATTTACTTCATTTATGATTAATACAGTTAGAATACTTCGATAAGCAATAATACTTCACCTATATTTCAGCCGCGAATGTCTCTTCGATGATGAGCGTAAGCTGCCCTTCTTTTGGTACTATCACGATTCTGATTGTGAGCTCATGTGCCAGGTTCTGGCAGTGAAGGATTCTTGCGACTGTTGGCTCTTTTTCTTACCCTTCTTAGGTATTGATAATACCTGCAAAGCGACTCATATTCCGTGCATTATGAATGTTAAGAGTAAGTAATGTTTTGGATCCCATAATCACAAGACTTGTGTTAAACCGATAAAACTTACAAAATATTTTATGGAACATTGTATTATGTGTAGTCTAATGTACTTTCTTAAATATTATCTTCCAGAGAATATGTATTTGTGGCTGAACTCAGAGCAATGCCACTGCCCGAGGAATTGTGTATCTAGAAAGTACCACGCTGATGTGACTGTAGGCAACTTCCGCGCTTTACCTTACATGATTGATTCACAAAATCACTTGTTAGTATCTAATTACTCATATAGTCCAAACTTAATATTAGAATTTGAATTGCGACTTAAAACAAACAACGTCAACGTTATAACTTCCGGATGTGGCATTAGTCGCGGCCCCAGAGTCATGAAAATTAGGGAAAGTGGTGGTCGAATTAAGAAAAATATACGTATAGTTTACGTCCTGAAGCCTCCAGAAAAACTGTTGTACGCGTCATACTTTTATATTGCAAAATAAAAAAAAAATAGTAGTTTTGTAGTTCGAAAATCGGCTATTTTTTGGCTCTCGTAAGTTATTTCAAAAAGTATTGGTTTTACAGAAAAATATTTTGAGTAAAAGTTGTTCAGGAGAAAATTTTACATAGGAATTATTGATGTAAAAAAAAGAAAAAAAATTGTTTATTGATTATTTTTGGCTCTGAAAACTAGAATTGGAAAAGTGAGTGAAATAGGATCTTCAAGACTTTAATATTTAATGAAAATCATATTTCGTAGATATCACATCATCATCATCATCACATCAACAGCCCATAAAAGTCCACTGCTGGACATAGGCCTCTCCTTAGAAAGGAGGTTTTGGCCTACTATACAACAACCAACAACAATAAACCCTACAACAAACCCTATATCAACCCGTCTGGCCAGTCTTGGCTGGCCAGAGGCCAGACGGGTTGATATAGGGTTTCCTGGGGTCGCCCTTACCGCGCGGTGCGACAAAAGCTCCGCGCGTCGGGCCCCCCCCTTACGGAGACTCTCCAGCCCAGCTTCCTGCGAGAAGTGGTTGAGGGCCTTTTCCCACAACGGGCGGAACACACTCCCCCGTCGATGGCCTCCTTGGCCGGAGACGACGGGGAGCACGGGGAGGATAATGTTCCGCCCGTCCGGGAATCGGAGGTAGGGGCGGCTGTTCTACGGATCCGTTCCAAGAACACCGCCCCTGGGCCAGACGGGGTACCGGCCCGAGTGCTGGCCCTGGCCCTCAACCACATGGCAGACCGCCTCGGGGAGGTGTTCGACGCTAGCTTGGCGTCGGGACGCTTCCCTGAGTGCTGGAAGAGCGGGAAGCTGGTCCTATTGAGGAAGCCGGGACGGCCTGCCGATTCGGTCGCGGCCTATAGGCCCATCGTGCTGCTGGACGAGGCGGGCAAATTGTTTGAGAGGGTTTCTTTCTGCCCGCATCGTCCGGCACCTCTGCGAGGTGGGCCCCGATCTGTCGGACGCCCAATTTGGTTTTCGGGCGGGGCGTTCGACGGTCGACGCCGTGTTGCGCCTGAGGGCCGTGACCGAAGAGGCCGTGAGCTGTGGCAGCGTGCTGTTGGCGGTGTCACTGGACATCGCCAACGCATTCAATAGTCTGCCATTCAGCTGCATCAGGGAAGCACTCCACTATCATGGGGTGCCAAAGTACCTGAGGCGGCTGGTGGCAGACTATTTAGAGGAGCGTAACGTCGTGTACGAGGACCGAGAAGGTAATCTGAGGTGTCGGCCCATGTCGTGCGGTGTTCCACAGGGGTCTGTTCTTGGACCCCTCTTGTGGAACATAGGGTACGACTGGGCCCTTCGCGCCGATTTCCCCCCCGGGCTGGGTGTAATCTGTTACGCAGACGATACCCTCGTGACAGCCCGGGGGGCAAACTTCCAAGAGGCGGCGCGCCTGGCCACAGGGGGAGTCTCCCTGGTGGTCGGGCGCATTGAGGCGCTGGGCTTACGGGTGGCCCTAGATAAGACGGAGGCCCTGTTATTCCATGGGCCCCGTCGTGGTCCACCCCCTGGCGCCTCCATCGTGGTCAACTCGGTCCTCGTACCGGTTCGGGCCCAGATGAAATATCTGGGCCTGATCCTCGACGGGAGGTGGCTCTTCGACGAGCACTTCCGACAGCTTGCTCCAAAGCTGGTCGGCGCTGCGTCTGCCCTAGGGCGACTCTTGCCCAATATGGGTGGACCCAGCGTCGCGACAAGACGGCTGTACACGGGGGTTGTCCGGTCAATGGCACTGTACGGTGCACCGGTGTGGGCGGCGGCTCTGACCGCCCAGAATAGGGTACGCCTCTGGCGCCCTCAGAGGGTAATGGCGGTCAGAGCCATACGCGGTTACCGCACCGTTTCGACGGAGGTGGCATGCGCATTGGCCGGAACTCCCCCGTGGGATTTGGAGGCGGAAGTGCTCGCCGAAGTTTATCGGCGAGTGGCTGACTTCCGGGCGGAGAGCGGATTTCGCCCTCCGCCCGAGGATGTGCGCGAGTGGCGCGAAGCCGCTCGCCGAGCCACGATGGCTCGTTGGTCGTTCCGGCTGGAGACTCCACGCGCTGGCTTTGCCGCCGTGGAGGCTCTCCAGCCGGTCATCGCCGAGTGGGCAGGGCGGCAGCACGGGACCCTTTCCTTCCGGCTGACGCAGGTGCTTTCCGGGCATGGTTGCTTCGGAAAGTACCTGCACACGGTCGCTAGGAGAGAACTGAGTCCCGCCTGCCACCACTGCGACTGCAGTGAGGACTCGGCCCAGCACACGCTGGCGGTCTGCCCCGCATGGGCGGCGCAGCGCCGGGCCCTCACTGCAGTCATCGGAGTGGATCTCTCGCTACCGGCCGTAGTACGCTCCATGGCCGGTAGCGACAGTTGTTTTACCGCGGTCGCAACCTTCTGCGAGGTAGTAATCTCGCGGAAGGAGGCGGCGGAGAGGGCCCAGGAGGACGACCTCCACTCGGACCCGATCCGCCGCCGGCGAACCGGGCGGCGGAGGCCCGGCTATCACAGCCTCATGCCGCCCTGAGTGTGGCCGCGGGTGGACGGGATGGGTTTCCCCTCCACCCGCATTAGTTGGCCAGCCGCGAGGGGGCGGCGTCCGCGTGTGCCGGACGTCGCCTATAGAGAGGAACAACACTGAGACGGAGCCCGCACCAGGAGCGGGCTGGCGCTAGGAGGGGTCCGGATGTCTTAACAACAGCTGTTCCCGGATCCCTCCTGTTACAGGCGCAGAGTGGCACACCGTGTGGTTTTAGTCGGTCCGAGTCCGACACACCACCCCGCCGCAAACCCCGGAGGGGTGACGGTCCGAGGGGATTTCCACACGTTAAAAAAAATAAATAAAAAAGGGTTTGTTTCAAGTTTTCCTTCTCTTTGCAGTGCTGTTTTTCTGCGTAGTTTGCTCCCTTAGTCGGTTCTTACGACACCCACGGGATGAATGGGGGTGGTGAAATTCCGTATTCTTAATCCGTCACCACACGGACTCCGTCACCACACGGACTTCCGTCACCACACGGGCTCCGTCACCACACGGGCTCCGTCACCACACGGACTTCCGTCACCACACGGACTTCGTAGATATAGTCATTATTAACAAAGTCCCCCTAGTCCGATCGCGAAATATCAAAGTTGCGGACTCCTGGAAAACGGTTAACTTAAAAATTTAATAAGCAATAACTTGTGTCGCAGCAGTCAGATCCGAACCAATTTTTTTTTTTGGCATCTGTAGGTACTAGCCATTTAATCATTAATTTTAATTATTATTTTTTATTTATAAACAAAATTGTTATTTAAAAAAGTAATAACGCTCGTCCGTATCTTCGCGAATTTTGTACTTAGAGATTTAAAATAAAAAAAAATCACGAATTTACAAAAATAAAACATTGTTCCACGACCAATAGAAATGAAGATCGCTGTGTTGTGTATTTTGATTTCGAACCAGGCTGGTACTTTATTTAAATACTTACTTTACAATAAGATTTACGGTGATCCTTTTGCTATAAACAATGTTAATAAACTACGCAAAATCGACCACCACTCTCGTTTCCCTAGGGCCGCGACTACATATTTCTTACAAGAATTTGTTTTCCAGGTCTACTTTAAAATTCAATAAAAGCACTTCGATTATAAATTTTTTATTCACAAAACCTGTGTATACGAAGTTAAAGCAAGAAACTGTATTGCCTCTAGTGTTTTTATTCTGTAAGTATCTGATTAATGTACGGCAAAAGGTTTGCTAGAAATCACAGTATTTTATATCATATTTTAATTGTTTCAGCTAACGTGGGAGGAATATTCGGCATGTTTCTAGGTTGCAGTACTTTAAGAGTCTTCGAAATTTTCTTTTATTTATATAGAGGAATCAGGCACTACTAATATATTAGTAGATATAGTCAGGTTTCTAGACTGACGTCGAAGCAGTAGGAACTGCGTGCACAATATTACTCAAACTCAACAATTACTCTCTCAAGCGTTTGAGATAAATAATTTAAAAAAGATCACAAATATATAATGGTTGTCATTTTTCGTTATAAGGACAAGAATAACAATTTATTTAAAAAAATATTCGTACTTCCCACTAAAAAAATCTTTCAAATTTTTTTATGAAATATATTTTTTCCAAAATAATTGTTTTCTTGAAAAAATACCAAAAATCTATTCCGAAGATCTATTCCGAAGGGTAAAAAAATAAGTGTGGAAAAATTTTTAAATTGAATTTCCATTAGGTGCTGCCTGTTCAAAAACTAACTGGGCATTTTAAAGTCAAATCACCGTTCTAATCGTCTAAAACTTCGTCTAAAAAGATAACTTTAAATGTTTTCATTAATTTCGAAAGCTCGGACGCCAAGATGCGTCCGGACGTTTCAAGGAGGCGGCGGAGAGAGCCCAGAAGGTAGATTTCCCGTTGGATCTAATTTGCCGCGGGCAAACCGGCTTGTATTCTAGGGCCTCATGCCGCCCTGAGTGATGATTAATAAAAAACTTAATCAAAATTACTAATTTAAATTGTTCACCAAGATTGTCAACTTTTCAAATACAGAAAAAAAATAAAAACATATACACAAGTATTTGGTACACTGCTTAGTACTAAAATATTGATATTTTTGTAAAAAAAACTTGTTTTCTCTGTGTGTCTAATATTGTTTTTGTATTAAACTAACACAAAAAAAATGTGCCATATTTGCCGCCTACTCAGCCTGCTGGTAAATCCGCCACTGATCCTTGCGTTTAAGCGCCGCAGGCGATCCCACCATTCACCCCGTCCTAACCGTGATATACGAGGTCTGTTCAGAAAGTATCGCAAATTTTGAATTTCGCGGGCTACGTATATTTAATTTTTGTTTTTTTTTGTAGCGTTATGTTGGTACTCAAATCCCTTACTTATGCTGACAAGGTCGGCCCTTTCGAATGTTTAGTTACTTTTTGACAGCTGTTTTGCTTGGATGTGTTTTGGCTCGTCTTCGATTTTTGCCTATTCCAAAAAATGGATCAAAGAATCTGTATTAAATTTTGTGTGAAAAACAAAATAAAGTGCGCAAACCCATTCAGAATGTTGACTTTGGCATATGGTGAAGCTACCTTGGAGCAAATCAACGTTTATCGGTGGTACAAAATGTTCTCAGAGGGCCGAGAAGATGTGAACGACAAACAGCGTGCCGGACGCCCGAGCACGTCAACAACAGACAAAAACATTGATAAAGTGAAGAAAATAGTATTGGGGCCAATCGTCGAATCACCGTTAGAGTAGTTTTTGAGGATCTAAACCTTTCGATTGGCTCGAGCCATTCGATTTTAACTATGTTAATGATTTGGGCATGAGTCGGGTCGCCGCGAAATTCGGGTCAAAATTGCTCAATTTTGACCAAAAACAGCATCGCTTTAACATTGCTCAGGAGATGTTGGACTCGGTCCATGACGACCCAAATGTGCTCCAGAGGGTCATAAGTGGTGACGAATCATAGGTTTATGGTTGTGACGTGGAAGCCTAAGCTCTATCATCCCAATGGAAGCTGCCACATGAGCCAAGACCGAAAAAAGCGCGCCAAGTTCGGTCAAACGTTAAGGTTTTGCTCACACTTTTCTTCGATTGCAGGGGCGTGGTGCATCATGAGTTCTTGCCACAGGGTAGTACGGTCAATAAGGAAGTTATGCGCAATTTGCGGGCAGCAATCCGCCAGAAACGCCCGGATTTGTGGAAGAACAAAAACTGGCTTTTGCACCATGATAACGCCCGTGCGCGAATATTTGTCCAAAAACATACAGTAATGGTCCCACAGCCACTGTATTCCCCGAACCTAGCCCCCAGTGACGTTTTCGTGTTCCCAAAACCACGCTACGCCACGATTGAGGAAATAAAGACGGCATCGAAGGAGAAACTGAATAAGATTACGAAAAATGTTTTTTTAAGTGCTTCGAGGATTGGAAAAAACGTTGGCACAAGTGCATTATATCCGAGGGGGATTGAAGGAGACAAAATAGATATTCATGAATAAAGAAATACTTTTTGAAAAAATACATAATTTGCGATACTTTTTGAACAGACCTCGTGTAATTAATTATTTACATACTTAAACCGCTCTATCTTTTCAGTGGCAAATAAATGAAAAAAAAGATGTAGGCACAATCAACAATGTATTGCTGTATAGGTTGGTACATGGAAATGGTGATAGGTATTAAATTAAATAGATACAAGTGACCTAGACAGCATAATTAAACCTGACCTGGGGCTAAACGATGTATGTCGAGGCAGAGAATAATTATTTTTTTATTTTAATTAATAACTATAGCATGTTTACTTCCCTCACGCAATAATTGCTATTTATATGAAAGCAGTCCAGTTTCTAAATTTAAATTAAAGTGGTAGTGTTGACACATTCCTATATTCCAAACACGATGGCAAAGACTTTCTGGATTCTATTACGAAGGTATTGTTTGGAAAGTACATTGATAGGGCCCCAGTACTTCTACTTGTATTCTGATTACGTTTCAAGGTAAGTCATGAGGCCTTAATATAATGATAGGTATATTAAGTTTAGTTGCCCGGTCTGTTGACCTAGTGGTGTCGTACGCTGTTTTATGGACAATGAAATTTAACTAAAGAACGAGTGGGCTTTAGACCACGCGACTGAAGTAAAACTTCTTGGCTATGAGAGAAGGAGAGAAAGGAAATGTGTGCTTCTATCTCTCTCTCTTGCCTACCTCTCTCGCTCTCTGTCTTGACTAACTTATCTCCCTCTCAACTTCCGTTCGCCTCGCCCGATCACACTTTTCGTAATGCTCTCGTCACTCAAAACCAGCTTACTCCCCTAATCAGGCGTACTTAAAGAGGTTTTACTTCAAAAAATAGAAATTAATTAAAAGCGAAAAGACCTTCAAAGGAATAGTCATCAGTACCATCTTGTAGCAGTATTAATTTTTAAGTATTAATCTTATTAAACTTTTCTGTTTTGGGCAGATGTTTTTGGGCCTTAAGCTCGATAATCGGAATGTCATTGTCGGGTTACATTACCTGGTTACTATATTGTCGTTTCTTGGAGACGCCGACGCAGATCACCATTGAAAGCCAGTTTGATTCACTAAAGAACATGCCCTATCCCACCATAACCCTGTGCTCTCCTACACAGAACAGTGTGTCCTCCGTGAAGTATTTCAACAAGTCTCTTGTGTAAGTTGATTTCATTTCTTGGACTCTTTCAGTAGGTACAGAAAGATCCTTGTCAGTATCTTTGTTATGTAAACATGCTTTCACTTTAATTAGTATTTCTGAATCACATACAGATCTTAGCCAGACTAATGAAATACAATATTTTACACTTACTTGAAGTATCATGTCAATATCGTACATTTGAAACAGACATTCTTTCCGTTAAATAATCATTTTTAGGCATAAAAACATATATCGCGAATATTCTACAATTTCCATCTGTTATATTTCCCTATAGCTATATTAATCACATTTATTTTGAATCTAAATGCGAAAACGTTGTGACTTTATATTAAATGCTTACTTTTGGGTATTTATACTTCAGAGATGGTGAACTTACTATTAACTTAGAAGACACACTCCCTCAACTGAGAGGCTTTTACGAATTCGTTTCTGAGTTGAATGAAGGCGATCTAATGCAATTGCAAAATGTTTTAGAGCTTAACCGATTCACTGTAAGTATTGACTGTCCAAGAAACTATAAAACAATTTATTACGTAGAAGAAGTGATAAGGTTTTGTGTACTAAAAATAGGTAGATAGACTTCTATGAGAGTATAACGATTAGGATTGACGGAACCAAAAATAAACTTTTTCAATTCAAAGCGAGACTCGTTAATCAATTGCCTAGTTAGAGTTTACCATCTGTTGTACTATTTAATAATCTGTACAATACTTGGAATCTACGTGATGCTTGCTTTTGTCTGGCTGCATAATTGTACAATTGGATACATTTCAATTACTGCAATGACAATTCTTAATTCTTTTTTTTTTTTGGTAATAAGTGTTTGAAAATTATAAATTTTGCATGTATTTAATTCTAACGTTATGAAAAATTGAATTTAAATATTACATTGTTTTAATAAACTGATATTTAGTATGGAGATACTTTGATTCTTGAGGAAGGACATAGGCTGCTTTTTACCGTGATAACGAGCAAAAGTTATAGACAGCACGTGCAGCAGCTGCTTGCAATTTGCCACAGCTGCATGACTACATACAAAAAGGTATTTATATGAAATGGCTTCCAACCACCTTTGTAGCAGCACATGCAGCCGACGGCGCCTGGGCGTGCTGTAGCAGACGCATGGCACTGCCCACTGCAGATTAGTAAACCAACGACCGCCAAACTATACGGATGTGTTGTTGCAGTATTGGATGTGCAATAATATAATATCGGAAATATTTCGAGTGCACGCTACCGCTGCAGGAGCCGCGACTCCATCATCATCACCTTTAACAGTCTACTCCTGAAAATAAGCCTCTTCTTAGAAAGGAGGTTTTGAGTATGCAGCTGTTGAATGTGCTGTCGATAGTTACCGTTTTGAATAGTACCTAACAAGTGTAGTGTTTTGAGTGTATAGAAATACTTGGTGCATTAATAAGTATTATTTTATTTAACAGATCCCTGAGGTGATGGCTAAGACATCACAAAGTTGCGAAAGATTTCTGAAGAGATGCGTGTTTGAAAACAAATTGTACGATTGTAAAGAACTATTCCAACCAATCATTACAAGTTATGGATACTGCTGCGCTTTCAATAGCAAATACTATTTTGATGGCAAAAGGTAGGTTGTATTATTTTATAAGCAGGAGAATAAAAGTCACCATGAGAAAAACATTTCTTTATTAGTCTGCTCCAAGTAATTGATATCTCACTTACGAAAACCAAAAAAAAAAACAAAAAAAAAAGGCGTGTGGTGTCGTGGGACACCCGATAGGAACGAAGTTGTGACGATCGAGTAAAACTGATTCGACACGATTTTCATTACAACGCCATCTATGAAAGCGGCTATTACCTACATATTTTTCAGTTGGTTTCTAATTAAAACAATTTATACATTGGTAAAAATCTCCTTGAGAAATGATGTCGAATACAATATTTTTTGCTCAACCTAAGAACATAAATTTTAATTTTACTGAGATGAAAAGTAATGATTTCCTATCTATTCGATAGATGGCGCTGAATGACTGACAAGTGGCAATTTAAAATAAAAAGTGTCATTACAACTTTTCGTGAGATTTTTTTCCATCTAGCCCCCTTTCACAACGCGCGATAAGGAACTTCGTTCCAAAAGTGACCATCGCCGCCAGTAAAAGTCTGCAACTCAGGAGTCACAAACGCGTTACCGGCCTGAGCGTGGACGTCCAGAGGGGAATTATCCAACGCTAACGCAGCTGGTACCCCCTTTTTTTTTCTTTTTTTTTTCTGTGCGTAAATCCCCTCGGAAACCACTTACCGGTGGCAGTGTCGGACTCGAACCGCCTAAAACCGCACGCCGTCTCAGATACCAGTAGTCGGGGAACCAGATGTACCCTGGCAAGGAAATCCGACGTACCTCGGACCATCTACGGTGGGTAGACGACCCCCCCCGTTGTTGGACCCCCTGACCGGTTGTGTGGGAACCCCCATGTTCCCTCTGTGCTCCCGGTAGGGCTCGCGCGCTTTGCAACGCGGTCGCCGCCACCCCGGCCTGCTTCCGCTTTGGTGACAGATGGCCTCACCTGTCACCCCCAGGCCTGCGCTTGGGTTGGGCTCCGGAAACTTCACTCACTGGGTGAAATGCAACAGAGAAATTGTTTTTCCGGGACTCCGACCGGTTTTCTGTGAGGGCACGATATCGCACCGGTCAAGCCGAAGGCTCTCGGGTGATTGTTTATTTTTTGTCAAGTCAGACCTAATTTCGTATACAGAGTAAGAGACCTAGCGTTATTCACAACTTGTCTGTCTTTGTGATGACTGGCCTGGTCGTGGGTTCGATTCCCACCCAGGACAAATAATTGTGTGATGAGCACGGTCATTTTTTCTGTGTCTGGGTGTAATTTATCTAAAATATGTATTTATTTAGAAATATTAAGTATGTTTATCAGCAGTCTGGTAACCATAGTACAGGCTGTGCCTAGTTTGGGATCAGACAGCCGTGTGTGAGATGTGTAAAAATGTTATTATTCTTATAATTTGTTCATATATCTTGAATGTTACCATATAAGTTCACTTTTTCAGGATAACTCTAAACCCTCTATTCAAGAATCACACAATTAACATTGTCGGATTCTTGTCTTCACTAATAGTGATCTCGGATTTTGAACCCGATGAAGTTCTGAAAAATACTCTACATAACGCTGGAGCTACACGAGTGAAGTTTTTCCTATCTTTTTAACGCTTATCTTTTTTAAGAGAATGGAAATAACTGTTTAATTGTTAAATAAAAAAATAACTAATGTCGTTTACTCTAACTTACACGTTCAATAATTTAAACTATTTATCCTAATCATGCACGTATGACTATCATTATTCATATAAAATAAACTTTTTCTGAAGTGTACTTTTACCATTCTTGAACATTTATTTTAAAGATGGTTGCAATTCGTATTGTAATGAGAGATGTGTATGCACTTGGCTTAAGAATAGGTGCTTACTACATATTTTTAAACATCGTTTCTATATTTTTATTCAGGTGATGGTGACGGATGTATCAGAATTTCCCGCTGACTCCGAAAGTTTGTTGGTGGAACCAAATGGCGAAGCCGTACTGCTTTTACGGGTTATATTCACATATTGCTCTGAGGATGTGCGAGCACTCCCATCGTGGAGGTTTGTAACTCATGTAATTTAGTAAAACCATTTGAGAATTTTATTAGTATCACAGGCTAAAATTGTAACCAAAATTCTTTGTTTTATTTTAAAGTCATGGCACTGAGACGTACGCTAGCCAAAGCATTATGTAAAACAAGAGCTGGCCAAATTGGTGTCAGTAACACTTTTATTTTCAAATTGTTTTCGCAATGTTTGGTATAGGTTTCGCCCTACTACTAGCCCTTATTATTTTTTGTTCTAGTCGTGAATGCAACTTTGAGAATGAACAGAGACTGCCATTCTTCAGATACTACCGTAATTCTGACTGCTACCATTCGTGTCACATAGATGCAGTGCGCAAGGCTTGTCATTGTGAACTTTTCTTCGTACCCAACTTTAATGTTCAACATACTTGTAAGCTGACACACATTTCGTGCATTATGGGGATCAAAAGTAAGTAAATCTGGATACTCCCCACAGTAGAAAAATTGATGCAATTTGTCAATCACTTTGGTGTCGTGTTTTGTCGCGAGTGCAGCAACACGACACAATATTCACGTTGATGACAAATATGGTATTACCTTCCAAAAGTTATTTTCAAAATCAGATTTATTATGTCTTAAAAGTCAAGTTTTGTAACATCCAATTTACAGACCTGGTGCAATGATGTCTAAAGATGGTCAGGAAAGCATCCATTTGTTATATTTATTAATTTCAGGGAACATGAGCTCGTGGATAATGCCGGACCAATGCATCTGCCCACGGGATTGTGAATTTAGGAAGTACAGCGTAGATCTGACTTTAGGCAACTTTGATGCCATACCATATTTAATCAAGCCATATTTAATTAAGTATGTTTAAAAATATCAATCTTAGACTTGGCAGTTTTACAGAGGTTGGATACTTATAAATAAACATAACAGTAGCTTTTCCGAAAGTGCTTTGAAATAAAGTGAAGTTTTCACCGTCGCACTTAGATTTTTTGAAGTTTACACTTAGACCCAGACAGTTTTTGGTAAGGTAACTATGAAACGTTTTTTTTTATTTATCAAATAAAATACAAAAAAAAATATAATTCGTAAAATAGCATTCTTAAACCACTAAGGTTTGTACTTACAATATAACGACTGTGTAGGTGTTAAAAGTAAATCATTAGACTAGATACAGTGTTTCTTGACTTCAGTACTTTTTTTTAATAAATGAGGCTAATAATAACAACGTTTACAAGTTTATCACTGGGTTTCCATGTTCTGGAGAAAAAGAGACTTCAGTTTCAATTTAATATTACTTGAAATAATTGTTTGCATGATTATACTTATAATCGTATATATACATTTTATAGTTACCTAACAAATGTACTTACATTCGTTAAATTTTACTTCTTAACTACTCAAGCGATCCTCAGTAAATTTTGCATATAGAACCTAAAAGTTGCTAGAGGTATGTACCTCTAGCAAACTTCAGGACTAAAAGAAAAGGACATGGGGTTTTGTGTACAAAAGTACTGTTCTCTAGAAATATAAACGTAGCCGCGGGTCAAGACTAGTTGAAAAAAAACGATAGGAATTTTACATGAACGTTAAACTCATCTATTAACTTTGTCTTATTTACCTACAAATGTGGTTTGATTTCAGTACAGGACTGACACTTAACGAAAGTACGACGATACTGAATTTCGTCTTTCCAAGTCCAGTATATGTTAAACAGAAGCAAGAGACGGTGTTGTCGATTATCATTTTATTATGTAAGTTCAATTTTTATTTCAACAGATCATGATAAATACATAAAACTGTACTGAAAATGTGTAAGCTCTCCAAAACTGTACCTACATAAAAATAAATTATAAGGTGACTGTGCACATGTGTAAATAGGTAGGTATCTGTTTTTACTTAAAAATCAGGTTTGCATAGCATAGTCTTTTCATTGCTTTTCACCGAGTCAGTAAGGTTACCGGGACCCATACCACCCTCTCCCTGATTCTGGGAGGGAGAGATTCACATGGCGTCACGCACTTGTTACTCTTGAGTTCCAGGTGTCCATGGGCGGCGATAGTCGCTTACCATCAGGTGACCAGGCTGCTAGTTTGCCTCCCTATACCGTAACAAAAAAGAAAATTACGTAACCCACATACTTTTTAAGCGAAGTTTAGTATTATCTACTTGTACGTAGATGCGTAGGTATGTTTTTGATTAGGTGCATGCTGTTCACTCACCAAGGGTAACTAATTTAATAGGGTTAATATCACACTTAAACCAGATAAAACTTTTGTGTTTTATAAATTTTACTTATTTTGTAAGCTCGATTTAGTACCGCTGTGATGAAAATATTTACTTCAAAACTGCCTACATGACTAACTGGAAATGGTAGTTACCTAATAACTTTAATTCTGCAAGTTAGCATGAACTGTGTTATAATTGTGTATTTTTTCTTGTTATTTCAGCAAACCTTGGTGGTGTATTCGGACTCTTCTTGGGATGCAGCGGCATTAGCTTACTGGAAATTAATTTCTACATTTACAAAGGCATTAAACGCCATATTTTTGCAGCAAGAGAGAAACGACGGAATAGAGTAGATTCCTAGGTTTAAAATAAATTATTTCACCTGAATATATTACAGCCTGAATTGTTCTCCTTGTTAATTGTCCTCCGTAATACGCAACACAACAATACAATATAGCATAGCGTTAAATAATGACTAGTCAAAATAGTCATGAGACTAATGATAATATATTTTACTTTGCTTATTGCGCACGTAAGGTACTTTTAAGTGTAAAAATTGTTGAATTAGTTGTTATTACTCAACAAATATATTAAGACAGGACCAAAACACTGGCCAACAGATAAAACATTAGGTACAGGTCTATAGCCATGACCCCCTTGTTCTCTAAGATTATGGAATCCGTAATCAACTGCCAGCTCTTCCGATTTTCTAAGTGAAAATCACCAGCTGAGGGACCAAATTGACACTATGGCTTTCGCCGGGGTCGCTCAGCTGGTGATCTTCTCGTTTATCTAACACACCGGTGGGCACATGTGATGAAGACCAAGAGAGAGGCTTGTGCGGTAAGCTTGGACATAGCGAAGGCCTTCGATCGGGTCTGGCATAAGGCGCTTCTCTCAAAGCTCCCTTCCTATGGGCTTCCCGAGAAACTGTAACTGGTCCACGAGTTTTCTTGCAGACAGAAGCATTAAGGTTGTTATCGACGGTGCATGCTTCGACTTGAAATCTGTCAATGCTGGTTTCCCGCAAGGCTGCGTGCTATTACCCATACTTATTTCTTCTGCATATCAATGATATGTTGCAAACTAATAGCATCCATTACTATGCAGATGATAGCACACGACATGCCTTTTATACCGGTCGCCCCAATATTACTCGGGAAATCGTTATGGAGAGTCGAAACAAACTTGTATCTGAAATTGAAACATCCTTAGCGGAGGTTTCAAATTGGGGTTGACTGAAGCTACTAAGTCCATTTTTACCCAAAAAAGATACAGGTTTGCTCGTTCACCGCAAAAAAGATACCATTTGTCGTATCGCCCCGGTTCGAGAGCACCTTTCTGCTTCAGCCAGTATCGGAATCCTAGGCATCGACATATCCAGCGAGGACCAGTTTCGGGTTTACACAGAGGGCAAGGTCAAATTGGCCTCGAAGAAGCTCGGTGTGCTGAACAGATCGTGGTAGTATTTTACTCCGGCCAACCGCCTCCAGCTCTATAAGGCGCAAATCCGGCCGCATATGGAATACTGTTCTCATCTCTATGCAGGGGCACCCCAGTTTCACCCTCTGGACCGTATCCAACGAAGAGCGACTCTAATCGTCAATAGCCGAAAAATCTCCGACCGGCTCGATCCCTTGGCATTACGTGGAGGTGTAGCTTCACTCTGCATTCTCTATCGTATAAGTATGTGGTGAAGAGTGTTCCGAGGAATTGTACAAATAAAGTAAATGTAGTAATAAAACGGACTAATACCGGCCGCAACTTTCCGTCATCGTTCCACACGGCAAAATGTTCATCCTCACTTGGATAATTGGCACTCCACCCCTTTGCGCTTTTCAAGACACTTTTTGCCTCGCAGAACCAATCTGTGGACCAAGTTATCATCTGCGTTATTTCCGGACCGATACGACCTTTTAACCTTCATTCGAGAAAAGAGCGTACTGCTTCCGCCAAGGGCGGCATGACTCCTGAGTTGCAGGCGTAAAAAAATGTATTTCATGTAAACATTTGAACTCAATCGGTGCAGATCTTATTGAGTTTTGAAGCGTAAACAAAGCAACTTAACATTAATTTATAAATGTATAGTAGGTATATAGAAAATTCAAACGCCTGTAATTTAATTATATTTAATCATTTAAAGTAACAAGCGAAATTGATGCACGTACTCGTATAAGTTTCTACAATCGTGAGTTGTTTTTCAGTTACATTACACCCGTCTAATCTTATCAAACGCCTGTAATTTAATTATATTTAATCATTTAAAGTAACAAGCGAAATTGATGCACGTATATACTCGTATAAGTTTCTACAATCGTGAGTTGTTTTTCAGTTAGGTACATTACACCCGTCTAATCTTATCAAACGCCTGTAATTTAATTATATTTAATCATTTAAAGTAACAAGCGAAATTGATGCACGTATATACTCGTATAAGTTTCTACAATCGTGAGTTGTTTTTCAGTTAGGTACATTACACCCGTCTAATCTTATCAAACGCCTGTAATTTAATTATATTTAATCATTTAAAGTAACAAGCGAAATTGATGCACGTATATACTCGTATAAGTTTCTACAATCGTGAGTTGTTTTTCAGTTACATTACACCCGTCTAATCTTATCAAACGCCTGTAATTTAATTATATTTAATCATTTAAAGTAACAAGCGAAATTGATGCACGTATATACTCGTATAAGTTTCTACAATCGTGAGTTGTTTTTCAGTTAGGTACATTACACCCGTCTAATCTTATCAAACGCCTGTAATTTAATTATATTTAATCATTTAAAGTAACAAGCGAAATTGATGCACGTATATACTCGTATAAGTTTCTACAATCGTGAGTTGTTTTTCAGTTACATTACACCCGTCTAATCTTATCAAACGCCTGTAATTTAATTATATTTAATCATTTAAAGTAACAAGCGAAATTGATGCACGTATATACTCGTATAAGTTTCTACAATCGTGAGTTGTTTTTCAGTTAGTTACATTACACCCGTCTAATCTTATCAAACGCCTGTAATTTAATTATATTTAATCATTTAAAGTAACAAGCGAAATTGATGCACGTATATACTCGTATAAGTTTCTACAATCGTGAGTTGTTTTTCAGTTAGGTACATTACACCCGTCTAATCTTATCAAACGCCTGTAATTTAATTATATTTAATCATTTAAAGTAACAAGCGAAATTGATGCACGTACTCGTATAAGTTTCTACAATCGTGAGTTGTCTTTTCTTGTTTTGATGTGTAACGTCTTTTCTCTCGCAATCTGTGGGATGCTTTAGTGAAAGGGGACCGAAATGTGTTACACGAAGCTTCAAAGGCGTATTAACGGCTGCTCTCCAGCTTCAATGAGCGGTACTTGATCTTAGATATTACACATCATGTATGGCAGGCTGTTTTTTTTTAATAATGATAAATTAACACACACGACCGTCGATCTCAAACTAGGCAGAACCTTGTTTTATGGTAACCAAACTGATGATTAACATAATTATAAATTTCTAAATACATACATTTTATAGATAAACTACACCCAGACACAGAACAAATGATGGTGCTCATAACACAATCATTTATGTGTAAATCGAAACCCACGACCTCTGGCTTAGCAGTGAGGATCGCTAACCGACAACCACCGAACAGACAGTCGTGTATGGTATATAAGGGTATTTTATAAATAAAATAAAAAGACATACTTTAGGTGTATGTAAACAAAACTTATATTTTCTGATTTACATATATATTTTACTACATCTGCGTATAAATTCCAATAATTTTATCAAATATATTGCTTTGCTAATTCTCATGAAAAAATACAAAAGTATTCTATAATTGCGTTAAGAAAAATGTTCTAGAAAAATTACATCTCTTATCAACCTAGATGTTCATATTATGCGTATAATAATATTTCGAATGAGTAATAAGTTTACAGCAAAACGTCGCTTATAAAACCATAGGCAATATTTGGTACTATTGCACTAGACAATATATAGTGACAGTTCAGAATTAATCGTACAACTAAATAAATACTCTCCGCTATCCGCGACGCGTAGTCAATAATACTTCAACGGGAATAGCTATAACTAAACCTAAAATAACGACATAAACTCAATATTTGGCTTAGATTTTAATTACAACTACGATAAAGCACATGAAGTAATAATTTGGTCTAAGTTATGCATATAATATATAATTAAATCGTTAAGTGCCCTTACACTAGTTATTGCCTTATACTAAATTATTTTTTATTCCAGTGGTCTTCATCTACTAAAGACATTTACTAAACTCATGCCAGAGCCTAAATACTATTATTGAATTGACTTACATATTCGTTATAACAATTTTAATAATTTATTGTAAGTAGGAATTCGTCACTAATTATAACACGTTACAACATGTTCTTATAAAATTAATTAATGTTAGAAAATGTGAGTATAAAAAACGCAATCAGTGCGATGTACGTACAACGATAAATGACATATAAAATGTAGTAAAAGGCATGAGTCATAATACAATACAAATAAGAGGAGTGTGTGCACCTCGCTAATCACTGGACGTATCACAAATGCTTAACAATAATTTTACACTACCAGTACCTAATCCAATGGAACGGTAAGACGTTACATCAACATTGAGCTAACTTACATTCAATATATTAATTATTCTTTAAGTAATATTGCTGTTAGTTAATGGTTAACTAAATATTTCGTACTCATAATTATTGTATTCCTGAGAGTAGACGTAGTAAATGGCACGAGGTTTATTATGACAAGATACTTGAGGACCGTTCAATAAATACATCTTTGTGCCGAAACATTCCAAGTGAACAGTGTAAACAAGATAATTTTTAATATATTAGCTTATAATATTAAACGCACCTTCTATTCTAGCCTCGCTAGACATTAAGCACAACACGAAAATAAATCCCTGAAATGCTTCAAATAAAACTCTGTTTTATTTTTGATCACAATTATTATTTCTGCAGAAATACACATCTATTATAAAAATATTTTTTTCTTTAGAACGTCACAAATAGCTCGTAAATTGACTTCAGTAGAGCGGCAACGCCGGGCCGTCGCTAACATTACAACACTACGATATAAATACAAAGCATAAATGAGCAAGTATGTTACTTCAAATAGAGCTCTCAATAAATAAAGAAAGGAGACGATCGCTCAGAAGAAGAATAAAAAAGACGAGAGAAAGAACATCGGCACGGCCGAAATACAAGGACCAAATAAATAAGTATTGCGTAGTCGGGTACGAAATACGAACAAGGGCGGGCGCGCGGCTCGTCTCACGGCCGCCGCCCGGCACAAGGCACAGTACAACACGACACGGGCGAAACTCGCCGGCCAAACTGACGCGACGGAACGTCATTTCATTCCATTCAACGAACCTTTTCACAATTCCAAAACCAATTTTCTCTCGTTCCGTCGCCGGTGGAAGTATTTGAAAAAGTAACGCCAACGTTGGCGTGTGATCGTTCTGAAATACGCTGTAGCACGAGAACATAGATCACCAAGACCGGCTAGTTGTAATTAGACGAGGACAGTAGAGCGGTGTGACAGGCGGACAGGCTCAGAGCGACACGAGGCTGGAGTGCGCGTCGGGCGAGGCGACGTCGGGCGCGGCGCGCGTCTGGTGCGCGCAGGGGTGCGGGTGCGGGTGCACGGGCGTCAGGCCCGTGCCGCCCTCCATCAGGCTGTCGAAGTTGAACGGTATGCCGTTGCTCGGCGTGCTTATCTCGACGCCTGCTATTTTGTTGTTGCCCAAAACTTTATTGTTGTGCATCTGTAAAGGGTAACGATTCTATTAAAAAACGTTCTTTTTAAAGATCAGATGTAAGGGGTATCCGAATTGATCGTATCGAGGCCGACACTTGACACCGACACCGACTTTACTAGATTTAACAACCCGGGCGGTTAAGTTTCCAAAGTATTAAAGAAAAAAAAATAACAATGCTTAAAAACTTTTCCTTGTTCTGATTAGAAGGGTGACTGATATTTTGAAAACGCATTATGAGTTTAAAAATAATGTGCACATCTTTTCTTTGACAAAATAATCAATAGGTAAATCTTACGAAACGAAAATACAAAAAGCAATTTCGAATGTTTCATTTCAAATTTACGTATTTCTTTTGTTAGCACTTTATTTGTTATGAAATAATATTTATATTAAATGCTTACCTGAGCGGGAGTGAGAGTCAGTGGTACTTGAAGGGAGTTGGGCCTGTTAGGGCGCGATATCGCCGGTGGAGTATCCAACGACAACTGCGACGCGCTCGTCACCACGGCAAGGTTCGCCGCAGACAGCATTATTCTAAAACAAGTAACCCATTCATCAGTAAACTGTTAAAATATAAGCTGGTTTTTAACTTTTTTATAACAAAGAAAAATCTTGAAAATTACAAAGCCACTGTAGTTTTAACATTGTTATTGAGAATATAGATGACACATCGTGTGCGTCATGCTCCGATAGCAAGTAGCTGCCTGGTTTACCAGCATGTAGCATGTTAATACAATATAAAGAATGTCAAACACTTGAAGAACTCTATTTTGGAAAACAAAAGCTTATTTTGAGATATTAACCAGCAATAACTTGTGGTAGATACTAGCAGTTCCAAATGACTATCTTTTTAGTATGTAACCGTCGATTAAGAAATAAATTTCAATAGTAAATTATAAGCGACAAAAACTTACTTCTTATTATTGTGCGGCGATGTGTACATATTCATCCCTAGTACCGGGTCGACAGGCGGTTCAACAACCTCAACTTTGACACGAACACCATCCTCAGGTATGTCGGGGTAACCGCTGTACGGGTCTTGGAAGGGCTTGACGTCAGGAGGGCTGACGGACCTCTTACTCAAGGGACAAGAAAGAAGATGAGCCTGAAGGATAGTTTCTAGTTGCTCTCGTGAGGCGTTTAGTTTACGAAGTTCCTCCTGAAGAGCATGTTTCTTTTCTTCTAGTTTATCAGTTTCGTCCTGTAGCTCATTGGTGTGGTCGAGTCTGCGTTTACGACAACGAGCGGCAGCCATCTTGTTGCGTTCCCGGCGGACTTTTCTTCGCTCTTCTTCCTCCGGTGTAATGTCCTGCGGTGCCTTGGTAGGTCTTCTACCGCCCATGTTGCGTCGCTTAGGCGTGGGCAGGCCAGGGCTGCTACTACTGTCGCCGCTGGCGGAGAGTGGGCCCGGCGACACGTGCAGCGCCGTCGTCGGGCCCGAATCACAATACCCCACCGAATTCAGGATGCCTGAAAGAATGGAAAAAGAAGTTTCATTCTACTTATTTTTAACAAATTAAATATGAAAATTACAAATCGTGAGTAGCATTAAACCAAACCCCTTATTTATTTTCCTTTTGCCTTAGAGAAGGGTGTTCTAAGAAATATATATTTAAATTATTTTCTTCTCAGTTTATATTCAAATCTCTTGTTTTTAAAACATTTATTTAATTGGATGATACTTTATTCTTGAGCTCAGGCAAACATTGGATCAAGTCAATGTTATTTACCGTAGTTGTTGGCGTGCGTGACTGAAGGTGGTACGAATCCGGCGTGAGTGGTCTGCTCACTGCGACAGTTGGTCAGCTCGATGTATGTTTGCTCGAAGTTCCGCAACTGCGTAGGCGTGATGGTCGCCGTGGTGCGAGTCGGCACCCCCGATTGGAGGCCTTCGAGGTTTGCCAACTGGAACAAGACAAATGGATTATAAATAAAGACCATAAGCGTTTAAGTGTTTCGTATAAAATTCTTCATTAAAACAATACAATAGGCGTATTTTAGGCTCTTAATGTAAGAGCTAAACTAACCAAAGTTATCATAATAGTTTAAGTGTAACCTCGTTACATTTTAAATAGTCTGATGTATTTGCAACATGTGCTATAATTCATTACGAAATTATTGCATTCGTTATGCAATATTTATTGTTATGATCATGGGCAATTGCTTCCACATTCCGATCGCAACTTATCAGCAAAATATTTTCATAACATTTATATCAACAACAACACAGGTATCAAAAATATGTTATTTTGTTTATATAATTTTGTATTTTTCCACACTTTTAAATTACCCTATTGCCTATGGAATATGACTCTACGTTATCTATTCCTCAGCATTAAATCTCTTTATTTTCTTGTTTTCATTTTTAATTGTCTCACATCATACATTTACATAAATTGATCTGCTATCGTGTAGTTTGTAATAAAAGTCTTAATTTTTTAAATCCTTAAATTATTTATGTTTATCTTGAGAACTTATGTAAGTAAATATAGTATGTACGGTAATGGGACAAGTGATGACAGCAAGCTCATAAATCCGTCATCTCGAAACTGATGTCTACTAACTAAGCGCGGCTTTCGTTACTCGCTCTGCAAATTCGTTGTAGAGGTTTATGAACACAAACTACTATTCTTGTACTAAGGAGGTAAACATTTAGAGCTTAATAATGCTTTAAATGTAAGCTAAATCCTTCGAAAAATGAAAAATTTCGACGAGAAGTGGCACCTCAGCAAGGTGGTTGCTTTCCTTTCATATATTAAGATAAGAGTGGGTGGTGTACCTGCTGGCACCACAGCTCCGTGGCGAGGATGTTGGCGATCTCCAGAGGATCAATGTTCTGCATCTTAGCGGTGCTATGTTAACTCCACCACGTTTATAATTAGACGCTTACTCTATTGTGTTGCGCTTTTTGCGACGCGACACCTTTGTGCGGTTCGAGTTTGTTAGTCGATTTGTTCGTTATAATCCGCCCTCGCAAAAGTGCAGTACGTATTAACTACAGTGAAGTCGATCCGTCGATGCACCGAATAGATATACTTCAATATAACTGGATTGTCGTATCAGGGTCGGCGTTAGCGTATGTTTAGGGCGGCGGATCGTAGGTCGCGGTAGTACGCGTGGAATATCGTGTGCGCGGGAGTGCGGGTCGTTCGTTCGTTGCGCGCGCGACGGCCGGCCGCGGCTGATCGCGCGCTACTGCCGCGCCGCGCCCGTACACGCTCGCCCGAAATCTTCGCCCACGAGCGACGTCCAATCATTTATTAATAGAATACTCCTCTAACTCCGGAAATATTTCGCATCATTTCGCATCGCACGCGGTGGATACTTATCTGAGGTAACGCTTTATACTCAAAACAAAGCCACTTCACGTCGTATGTCGCAATTACGCTCGAAAAACATTTAGAATCATGGAAGCGCGAGAAAATTTGACACGATAAATCAGAGGCTGAAGATTTAACTTGGAATAGAGCAGTCTATCTAACTTGATACAGTGAGTATATTTTTGTAATCTATGATGCCAGCAAGAGTGTGACGGCCTGTAGGCGGGAGGCTGGGTCGGACCTTGTCACAAGGTCGTGTTACGCGGTGGGCGCCGTTGATTACGACCGCGACTTAGACGCCATTGCTCGTCAATACAACCTTATTTGGTAGCGGTAGATAATTCAAAAATAATAATCGCGATGTCAATATTTGGTCATATATTTATATATATCTATATATACTGTTTGTAACATTTGTAGTGTCAACACAACGTCACTATGTGGCGGTGATATAAATCATCACATAATAAGATAGACCGACCTCGTACACTACTGCAAGTGGAGAAGACAAAGCAGGCGGCAAACTGCTCCGGAAGGCGCTCTGCCCGGTCAATTACTACAATTGCTTAAATGAAATTCGTCTCAAATGCGCGAGCGCATTGTATCGCGCTGCTGGTAATACGTACGTTAATTGGTCACGGTGCTTTACCTAACAATTAACCAACGCTTTATTATCTCGCATTCTTGCTTGTTAGTCTTCGTAATTTTATTTTTTGGTTATTTAGATCCTTCATTACATTTCACTTGGAGTTTCTCTACTGAAAATTCTAGTGAGATTAATTTCGAAAACTTAATAGCTATAAAAATAATTAAAATGATTAAAAACATATAATGGTTGAGTAGAAGTTAGTTGTCTTGATCTTGGGTGGCAGTGAAATCATTGCTTTGAATTTTCTCAGCAAAATGCAAGAGGGCGACCATAGCATAGCCCTTGAAGGTACAGCAACTACGTCCTCGCTATCGCTTCGCTTGCTACCAATGAGATCACCTCTATATCTAGTTGTGACGTATTGACTTTGCGTCGATTCTCTTGTGCTTTTGTTTTTCGTTGTTACAATGACAACTATTATAACAATGATACGAATTTTAAATGCGACAATAGGTCAGAAAAATATATCAAAATTATATACAATTTCCTAAAGACATAATGATATGGTTTATACAATTCTTAGTATGGAGTATTTCTACAAGGAAAATGATAGAAACAAAGATGGCTTGTATAATAATTTGCAGGTAAGTTAGGTCTGTACGGCATGTTTACGTTTATAGCGGAATACCTAGAAGAAAGTCTTTGTCTAACATTACTGGGTGAAGTATAGTACACAGAGTTGATAAGGACTGCCTTTATCCGCACGTTTACTCACTCACTAAAGCAGTATCTAATCGCATGTATGTACATGCTTATATCCAAAGGCCAATATCTATTGTTCAAACTACTTTTGTAAGTATTTTCGTTTTATAATACTAATTTACGTTTGTTTAATTTGCAATGGCATAACAGGCGTCGATGTTCGGCCACAACATCGTTGACCTTGTGATATAGATAACATGTTGTCGATATCACCTATCACCAGTTTCACCAAAACGAAATATCAAACCGTCTAAATACTTCGAAGAAGTGTAGTGATATTTTTGTGTTTTTGTTTTCCTGTACTGAAAGTAATGTCGCACAATTTCCCGAAGTTGAGTCTCGTCACAGTTTTATTTAGCTCCGTATCAGAGGCGCAACACGCCGCGGCTTTCCGGGAACGATGCCCGATATCGCACATCTGCACACTGTTCGCCGTTAAATTGTATACTTAAAACAAATAAAATATAATTTGGAAAGCGAATAAAACGCGGCCGATGTTTAACAGGACTACCACACGTGTCCATAGAAATAACAAACCTCTTTAACAGCCATCGCGTATACTGTTTTCCAACTTCTCAACTTAATAACTCAACCTTCATATATTCAGCGTATCGACATAAAACAATTCTGGAAAAATACAACACCGATACAAAAAATTAGATATAGCTAAGTATTGAGTTGATGTTGTTGACAATAACAAAGGTGTTGTAGTTGTAACCCGTTAGAATCATGCAATACAAGGCAAGTGGTCTCTAACATTACGCTATATAACGTTGTGGTCATTTTATAGTTTCGACAATATAAAATTTCCCTATAGATAACATTAAACTAAAAAAATAGCGGCATGCGCAGAGCGTCGCGTACTATGCGCAGGCGCACGTGGCTGCCGCGTGATCGTGCGACAGGTGAGGCACGCCCACCAACACGAACAGTATTTGGCCAGTATAATGTTATCGAGATTACAGCTGTTCTGACCATCAACCCCATATCAAACAAACATTATTATTTGAATAAGAAAGGTAAGGTAAGGTAATCAGCCCACAATGCAACACTAACTATCAATCGCTTTCAGTCGCACAGTAGTTTTTCAGTATTTGTGTCTATTTTATTGCAAGTGGTGTCTTTAACCCCGGCTAGAATAATAAAAAATAATTCAAAGAAGTAAGTACTACCATTAATTGTAAATGAGAACTACCTAAAAAATATCTTAACAAAACAATAAGCTGACAGCGGAAGCGCCGCAATGTAATATTATCAAGAATTTACTGGTAGGTGACTTTACAGTAGTATCTATGCGATGTACAATTCCTACAGAGAGTAACCTCAAGAGCTACTGGAAAATGTACCGAAATCCCATGGAAATACGGAGCTTATTGACATCTCCAACAAATGGGCGCCATAAAGCACTCCCAGCATATTACGCTATCAACTTGAAGTGACCATTTGACCGTCAAGAAGTGTTCTATAACATGTCTTTTCGTATCTGGTTGGTTGCATGGGAGCTCATTAACGAAGCGCTAATTGTTCATACTAATAGCGACGGTCTGTCGAGTTAGAAAATTCCTTGAACTGATTCTAAATAAAATAAAGAACCGTTTGTGTTGGAATTTGGAACGCATTATGAAAGTACTATTTACTTTCATAATGCGTTTAGTAATAAATTAATAGCTACGGGTCACATAGAATTATATTTACAATTCAATCTGCTTAGATTATAAACAAATACCCTTGATAGATTGTTCGTCTGGAAAGGAACAGTGAGCTTCAAGGTTTCGTTACTTTGATATCTGTTAACAGCACATATTTTTATCAGCCTAATAAAATTGACACAATTAAATATTTTACGGAATATGGACACATTACAAAGCAAACACTAATAAAGTGTCTGTAAAAGTTTAGCTTTAAAGCTGTAGAAATAATAAGATCAACACATGCAAGCGATGTACTGCGCCGCCGACGGGCTGTCGCGACATTGACCGCCACCGAGCGAATAATAAAATAAATCGACGCCCTGGCACCGCGCCAGCGTCCCTTCACTTTACCTTTGTTGTAGGAAATTACCGCTCCAGCGACAACCATCGCCGCAAAATTTGAAACGGCTAGAAAGTGAAACCAAACTCAAACAGCAATGAATAAAACCCAAATGAGGGAAAAATATAAGTTCGTCGGTATACTGCGATCGATGCACTATCGCTTTCCATAATACACCCTTATACACGCAACTTAGGGACAGGGGAAGCAAAGAACAAAGGGTTAGTAATTTTATAATGTACCTACATTTGGGTAGGTTCAATAAAATATGGTTTAGATAATTCACAAAGTTACAAAGAAAATAATTCAGTCCTCACAAAGGAACTCCACCTCGGTCATTACAGCAATTGGCCGACCGGTGTCGACCTTCGTTTTCACGAAAATCGTTTCACTGTGTTTCTCGGAAAACCCGCGTGACTCACCGTCACTCGTTCTCTATCGCGGGTCACTACGATCGCGTATTTACATTCGCCGTCGTCGTCGGCTTAATTCAAAAACTCGATTACGTCGAATGATTCATTCTCGATTATGAATCATCGTTATACATAGGTAAATAAAAAAAATAGAAATCTTGAAAATATAGGCCTTTCTTAGTCTTGTTGGCTTGTACATTTAAAAAATAGAGATTTTTAGTCAAAAGCTTAGATACAAAACAAGGAAGTGACCATCCAAACTTGAAACCCTTGAACATCTAGACTTAGACCATATATTATAAGTATGAATTTAGGCGATTTATCTTAAGGCACTATAATTCGTCACGTAAACCACACGATAAGGTTATCTGTAGCACTACGTATGGCGCCGAACTAAGGACCGGATATCGTCCGGAAATGGCGAACATTCCGCGCGGCGCCGGCCGACCGCACGGTTGTAACGTCGAAAAAAACGATGTTATTTGCGCACATTTACGCTTACTAAAAAGATTAGTCAGTCATATCATATTGTAACTACAAACATTTTAGTTAATATATATATATTTGTATAACTGAGAAAGTTATAAAACATTTTTTTAAAGAAAACATTGGTTATAAATTATAATATATGTAATGCAGTTAATAGTTTATATGCCGCTGAAGGATATAACAGGTTATCTGCGAGAACTGTATTAAATCATTATTATATTGTTTCCCGCCGATAAGGAACATGCAGCTGCACGAATGCGGTGGAACAAAGAGGTATAATCCTAACGCGTTAAATGGCATGTAAATTACATGGCAACGCTAATGACCGCCCTGCCTCTTTATGTGGCCAGATTGCGTATATATGTGTACATTGTCTTGACATAATTTAAAATAAAATAAAGAAAAACTAAGAAAACGATATGATTTTTACTTATCCAGTTTTCAATAGTTTCTAGTTTGATTCAGATGCGAAATAAAATCAATTAAGATTGAGACGATTGTTTATTATTGTGAAGGATCATAAATATTTTGTTTCTCACTTGAAATATTTTTCCTCCGCAAAGACTTCGCTAGTAAATATGCGTAAGCAAAAGACGTCGGTACCAAGGGAATGATGTTTCTTCAATTACTCGTCCTATTTGCGTATAATGTACAGTAAGGCGTCGCGCGTCGCGGTGACGGCATAATCAGCTTAAGAGCGACGCCTACGACGCCGACTTATTTCTTGTTTTTTATTTAATTGCGTCGCCTACATCAACATTATAAGATCTGCAGTAATTTCAAACGTTCATAAACATGTTACAGTCAGATTTGTATTACCCACTACGTAATTGAGGGCTTCAAGTGTCAATGTTGTGTCAATCTTTATTATTAAACATTTACTTGAAATAACACGATACTGTAGAAAGATTTGGAACGCGATAATAAAGTAACTCCTTATGTGAGCATGTCATTTAAAATAAAATGCATAGGTATTCAAATGTTGTAAACTGCAGCAGATACAGAGGAAACTGTAGCAGATACTGACATGATCAGATCATGACAGATAGTTTGAAGTAGCAATTTGTAGGTAAAACTTTTGACCGAACACTGCCGGACGGTAATAAACGACCTACTTGGAACATTGACTATATAATTTATAACCTCTCTTCGCGCTTAATAACAAAGTAAGCATTTTACAGATAGTATTGCGAATAAATGAACGGTAATTCAGTTGCGAGTGCTCGTTTAAAATAACATTGTAAAACATAACGAAACAGTTATAGTAGGCGACAAACGGACGGAGAGACAGACAAAGCCATTGTTTCGCTACTCGCTGTGTTTGGCGGCATTTATGCTAATTTCTTTTGAGGCGCACTCGACTCTTATGTTGCTGACTTACAAAATGTTTTATTACCTGCAATTTTTTAACGCAAGACAATTGCCCTCCCAAATCAGTGATGGCTGGCAAGATTAAAATACAAAGCAAAGGTTTTTATTTATAAATGCTTTTTCAGTACCTATTACTAATTTAGTTTTAATTTTAAATTATATAGTTTATATTTGTGTAGGTTATGGCTCAAGTGATCAAACAATGAATTTTCATGCATCACTTCAAAGCAAATACCACCAACCACAACACCAAATACAGCTGCACTAAGCAATGCTGAAACTGTTTTCTGTAATAGTTTCAGTTGGGACTTATTTTTCACAATGTTGTTAATTTTTTCGGAGTGTAGTGTAAAGTAAACTTTTCTTTTTTAAACATTGATAATGATTACTTTAACCTGTAGATTGAAATAGTAGTCAAGTCATTTGTAGTTTTTGTAATTTACAGTTTAAATATAAATGTATTTAGCTTCATTTAAAGTTTAAACGTGTCGTTAATAGAATAAGTTGTACAGGACACGGGACCCTTCGTTATCAATACAGATAGCGGCATCCCAATCGCCTGCCTACACCGGCACCACGCTTATCGTCTTTCCACGAACACTTAGCTGCGCAAACACTTGCACTTATCGCAAAATATTTCACAACCACTGCTCTACACCATTTCTATGCAATAATAACTTTTTGATTTTAACAAAATCAATTAAGTAAAGAGGAAAAATACGCGTGCCAAACAAAAAAAAAACCGAATTATTTTAGGAATTTTTCGTCTTATTATTCTTTGTTAAATCAAAATGAGTTAGTTTCTTGTTCTAGCCAGTAAATTATTATTTAAATGAGACATCATTTTATTGAATAAGCTTACACACATTTACGAGGGCAGTTTACAAACTTAGCTTATACAATAGACGCACTTTAGTAAGAGTATAAGTGGTTGAAGAATGTTCCGTTTCTTTTTTTGCGTAAGTTAGCATTGTATTGTAGTCCAGTTGCTTCTGCGTTATTTAAATTAGCTAAGTTCTTGTCAGATGTATCGATTTTGGAAACTCGCGAACTCGCCGCACTTGAACTATATGCTTAAATGAACGATATAAGTCGTGATCAGCAAGATATTGGATAAAGTACAAATAATTGACATTATGTTAAAGTTTGAGAATCCTTTAGATTCTCCAGTAATAGTTATTTAGTTAAAATACATAAGCGCACTTGCGAACATACAGTTGTAAGTAACTGACATCAGCTTGGCAATAAGCCCAAGGTATTGTCAAACGGATGTCATATCCGCAAATTGGAATTCCAACAGATCATCAGTATGTCATAACTTTCTATTGGGCTTTTTTGTTTATAGAAACAGTTGCTTGGAGAAAAGATACCATGTTCAGTTGCATGATCAGTTGATTAGTAAAAATCTTGAATTTTTAAAGGAAATTATGTTTTATTATCTATAAAAGATATGATAGTCGTGGCCACATACAAATGAAATAGGCCTAATTGGTAAACTGACCAATTACACCTATTTTATTTGTATGTGGCCATCATGTGAACCAAAGTAATAAAAGTTTGACTACATGAATACTCTTTATTGTTCTCATCAGGAGACGAGACGCATCTAAACGACATACGAAGAATAATAAACCCGCATATAGTATATTTCTACATTTTTATTAAACTGTAGAGTAATGGGTCCTGTGTTGGGTTAATTTGAATAGCGCAACAGGATGCCCTGTCTTCGGTATGTACATATTGTGCCTATATTATTCTAAAATAACGTACATTAATACAGACGATTTATCTTTGAGTAACATCTTATTAACTACATTCAATGTTATGTTCGATGTGTGCACCAGCAATAATCCCTGTAGCACTCCATTAGAAAAAGACGAAAAATATTTTTAAACCAATTGTGATGTATTTTGTGCAATACTGTTTAGTACCTTCCTTTATTGTTTTCCCTATAGGATACTTTAATTACCTTTTGGATACCAATAATAAATATTAGGTCCACTATTAAATCCACAACTTCTTGTTGATAGGCTTGGACAATATTATAATTGATGTTTATTGGAAAACAGGTAGGTAATCATAATCCGACATCGAATCAATAGATTGGCCCTAGTGTCTAGTCTATTATCTTATCGTTTTAAAAGATAATAAAAACATAGGTTTAACAAAACCAGACTAAAAGTCAAAACGCAGTAGTCTTACTTTTAAAGCGGCATCCTTCGTCGTATAAATACGTTATATTAATATACCTCACTACTTCCTAATGGATTATATTGTATTTCTATTGATTGATACGACGTCTTTTATTATGTGTGAAAAAACAACTCTATGAAGTGTTTTTCCACGTTTTAGTTATTATATAATGATGTTGTTGAACAATCCGCAAGGTTGCAAGTTGAACATATCAGCAAACTGTCCGATAAAATAGAAAGCAAACAACGTTTTACAGTTTTCTTATCATGATCGTAATGCGACCTTATTTACACCAGCGGAACGCTAAATTAAAAATACTGCAAAGTCAACAACCCACGACGTCACGTGTTTTGTGCTGAGGTAAAGCAGACTTGGGGTTCATACGAGTAATCGGTGAGACAATTAGAGGCTCACTGGCGGCAGTGGGTACAATGGCGATGCAAATAATCGCGATTATGGCAAGGTTGACGTCGGTCGACGGAGGGTTCGTTCAACTGACCGCGAACGATGACACGGTGAGCGCGCGCAGCGTCGCGGCGTCACATGCGCGTTCGCATCAACACGCCGCCGAAGCAAGTACCCCTGACATCCAACTACGACCTGATGACCCAAACTGCACCTTCACCACAACTCAGACGCGATCGATACTGTCGATACATTTTTAACGTCGTAGTTGAATTTTAATATACGCTCGCCCTAAATCTACTATTAAATATATAGAAATACTAATTATGATCATTTAATAAGAAATAGATAATGACATACAAAACAAACTTTGTTGGATGATCGATTTTATTACGAACCACTCGGGGAAACCCCAACTTGCTCCAAAGTATCTTGAAAAGAGTAAATTAACACTTACCGATTTCCTTCAAGTGCAATCCAAATAAGACACTACACAATGCAACAGGAAACTTCAATTATAAACTTCAAAAAACTTGTCGAAACTTGCTACAACGAGTGCGATAGCCGCGTGCGCGCAACAAAAACAATCATCTGACAGATGTCGGTCGGCGTCGGAAAACCCCTCAGAAACTACGCGGCGCAAAGCACGCAGTGTGTAAATATTATTGCCTCGGCTGGACAAAGGTTTTTGTTATCTAAAACCGGTGTCAGCGAGCGTGCACGACACGCGTGGCCAGCGGTAGAACGTGGAGTGAGGCTCGCGCGCCGACCCCGCCACCGTCTGATAAGCCTGGCGCGACGCCCCCCGGCGACGCCTACGCCCCACTCGGCGCCATCGCACCGGTGCATCGTAAACACACCACCGACCGCCCCTCGGCACCCGACATGGTCGTCGCAGCCACTGTCGCCGACGACCAGACGGGCCCCCGCGCGTTATGCACCACACCTACGCACAATTTCACAACTGCAACGCACCTACTTGGGCGCCTTGCAGAAAATCAACAACTTTCGATTCCTTAAAAAGAGGAGGAAACAGAGACTTGGCACTTGCGAAACTATGGCGGTAGCCCAGATACCAATGAGAACAATGAGGTGCAAACAAACGTAGAACCATTTTAGTGTCCTCCTAATTGGGCTGGAAGTGCGTCGGGCAGAAATTCAATATGCAACGCGATCGGTGCGCTACATAAACGGAATAATTGAATTAGTGCAAGCATGCTGAGCACAAGAGCCAGTATACTATACCGGTTACCAATAATGTTGAACGCTTTCAAAAACCATTGTATTATTGCTGAATTTGAGTATAGAATAGGCAATACCATGAAGAAAGAAATTAAGAAGCTCACAGTATCTTATAAACCTATACATATATATATATATACCCACTGCAAAGACCATGGATAAACAATTAAATAAAACACACATATAGTGTACGTATAGAATTAATATTTTACACTAGTCTACAAAAGAGACTTATATTCAGCAGGGAATGTCCTATGACTTACGTAACAAGTTACTTAGTAGATAAAAATAAAATTAAGGCGATTTAATCAGACTCATGTAAGGAAGAATTAAGGATTATTTTACTTATTTGAAACCGAAACCCTCAAACTTGACCACTACGCATAAAGACCAACATGAATACCTAGAATCGTTTATGCAACAAGAGTCTTGTAGGTACTCAACCAATATAATTGAGGATGACAAAGAAAGATTGAGGAAAATGATAACTTTTTATCGATATCCATAAAATTATTTTCTTAAGTTTGCAAAGTATATGATAACTACCGATTAACAGTCTGCACATTAATCATTTTTAAGGTCAATGATCTTTTACATAGTTATTACGAAAAATACAAATGTGTTAAACAAACTTAAGAGTCCATCTTTAAAAAAAAGTTAGCGATCAACATGTAAAGAAAACATAAAAACCAGAGCAAACATTATGGGGAAGGTCACGCCTTCTATATTTACCAGAATTAAGAACTGCGTAGGTGTAGCAAAATACAATATTAAATTCGAAGAAGTGCGGCAAAAAGTAGCAATTCGAAACCAATCAATTCAGTTATTTACTGACATCCCATGTTATCAAAATAATTTATTGGACGATCGTTTTACAGTTCAGGTAAAATTGGTGACTAAACTAATAACACGAGAACGCAGTTATACATTACAAACAAATCAACCGCTTTGTGACATTAACGTTTACATTTTACATACTGACAAGGTCATAACGATAAAAAAGTTGCACTACTTCATTGGAATGTCGTAAAGGTAATATATATATCATCAAATACATGTAATGGTAAAACCTATATTATGAGGCAGAAGGAATCTTAAAAAAATGATTTAAATATCATTGAAAATGCAGCCACAGTCGTAAACATTTACGAGTGCATTACTCTCAGTAAACTGGCATGGCCGTGCAAATTATCCATCCGACATTTATACACGCATTCGTGAATTGACATTCTTTGATTACTATTTATTAACTCCTACATTTGAAGGCTTTCACATTCAGAAAGAAAATAATAGAGGTCAAATTATTCAAAGATATTTCACTATAGACCAGATGGTCGAGGCCCTGGATAAACGAGTTCTATTTCTTTATGATAAATATTATCGATGTCATATTACTCTGTCCGTCAAGCGAGAAATCTGTCGGGGCGCGTTAGGCCCACATAAATTACGAGATTAATCTTTTCAAATAATTTGACCTTTCCATCTGACGAGGGTTCATTAAATAATGGCGTCGGTATTGATAGTGCGGTTATTGTACCGTCTATCAAAAATTTTGTTGTGGGCGGCAGACAGCGTACAACTCACAGTTCTATTATTCCTCAAGTCTTGAGGGTTGAAATAGTTCATTCTTATGCAGATGAAGACATAATAATATAAATACTACAGGTTATTTTTTGTACCAGGATTTCGTGTATAGGGAAAATTAAAAAGTATTAATATATCATAATTTATGCACAGCTTATACTTAATACGTAATAATATTGTTTTTTTTCTTTTTGTATACCCTCTTTTATACGTATCTCGTATAAAAACTTTTTAAAACTTATAACTCTTCCAATGTGTGCACTGCAACACTTTTCCGCAAGCTTTGCTACAATATTTCCAACTGTGATCTAATTCAAATAGTGCGCAGCAGTGAATATAACATCTTTTAATAAGGGTCTTGATGCGGAAACGTGTAAAATGTTAGTTATCTACGGAACGGCAAGCACGATTCTTGCCCATAATCGGAACAAGGACTCTGCAGCTGTTGTAAATATCAGTTCCATGCTTATAATTGTGATAATAATATAGCGCGAAACAAAGAAAATTAAGCTCGCTAATGTATATCGAGAATCCGTTGTTAGACTGCACAACTTAGCTTACTATGTAATTGTTTAATTACAAGGAATCTAGCTTTTTAACCCAGCTTTATAATCAAGATAAATAAACGATATGGATAGAATGTCCGGTGGAATGTCGTGCGAGCCGACCCAGTGACTCATAAGGTGCCAGCCGCTGGTTAACTGTCGGGATCCTTAAGTACATTTATCGGATCTTCTGTCCAAGCACAGCCCGATGCAATTATTGTTGCACCGTTACAATATTTACCCAAAAAAAGGTCTAAGAAACAATTCGGTCGCTGGTTTTGTGGCATTACTTGTTAATAGGCATCTTCAAATTTTATGGCACCTCATTGTAGCCATTTGCATATTTATTGAATTTGGAAGTTTTAGAATTGAATAGTTTGAAAACTTCAAACGCCATTCGCAATTTTTCTTAAGCGCCTCATGTGACAGTTGATATTTGGTCGGCCTTAACAAATTCTCGAGCGAGATAGTATAGTCGTTTGTTCAATGTAGTGAGCATTTCGATGATGTACAACGGTTGTTTAGGTAATTTATCTGAAAGATGGGTTGAACTTGGGCGATTTTCCTTGTACTTTTTTTTTGTATTCTCTCGTTGATTTCAGGAACTGTTCTTTACTTATTGAATATTTTAATTCGACTATGGTTGTTCCAAGAGATTTCGACTTACTCTTCAGTCTAAAAATTTCTGTTATATCAGTTTTAATTATGGCGAGTTTCAGGATTTTGTCGTGACAAATGTATTATTTCAATTAATGCCGCTTTCATGGTTCTTTCAAGTAAGTCTACTTTGCTTTCCAAAAATTTTTATCATTATTTAATTGCTTGATCTGACAGCAGTAGTGCTAATTTATAATATGTCCCTATAGTATGTTCTAAGTAACGTTAGTTCATAAAATATTAGCCGAAATGTTGTATAAGTGACAAAGCAAAAAACAACATCTACAATATTAATATTATTATCCAATTTTATAATTAGAAGAATATAGTTTATCAAATGTCATAATTATAGCTCTAAATATGGCTAAGTTCATAATTATGTTTATTAAAATTTTTACAATTGTTCACTTTCCTTCAATCTTAATATATTTTTTGTTCAGTTGCCGCACCATAATCTTATTTAAATGCATCATTCTGTGAGTTTTTTACTGTTAGAGTGGCCGTAACAAATAAAAGGCTCGGTGGGACACATCAATCAGCCAAGTGATTTACAATAACATTTCCATTTTGAACACGTAGAGGTCTGAGGGCCGACTATTTAGAAATCTTTAAGAACGCTTTAATAGTTTTTTTTTAGCTTAGCTGATATATTTTTCTTATAGGTAATGACAAATTCCATATGTTATCGTGATTTCATACATTTTCTTATGAATTCGTTTAAAATAATATTATTAATGACCTAGTTCTTCTATCTATCTAAGCAGCCTGTTGCACCCACTGCTGGGTATGGGCCTCTTCTCTATAACGCCTCTACTCCTGGCGGTTTCGTGCCACATGGATCCACTGCTCTCCTACGGCCCTCGCAATGTCGTCTTACCATCGGGGAGGCCGCCTTAGGAGGAAGGAGACTGCCTCAGTCCATCGGTCGTCATCCCGAGGGTACTTACTAATTTAAAATTAATAACAATATATCTAAAGAAGATTAATTAAGAATATTAATTAGATTGTATAGGACATAACATATAGTTTTGAACAAACAGGAAATTAATATAATTCTAATAATATTCAAGTACTTTGTATTTATATTAATAGTTACCTCTTCTAACTAAAATATATTCATTTCTGAAGAGCATTGATGTTGATATCTACTTATTTTACAAATAAATTAACTTCAGGAATAGTTTTCCTGTTTTTAATGTTATAACCAACAGTGAAACGTCAATATAAATATGTAACATTGAAATTATGTGTGTTCTTTTTTTAGAGTTCTTAACGGACCACGATATTAGTTTTCTGTTTGAACGCTTCAAGTGAGCTAATTGCCGAGGAAGGCAAACAATCTTGAAAAGGGGTGCTTTTCAAGATATATTATAATATAATAACTTTACTTTTACCAATTACACAATTAAATATTTTTAAGACAATTAAGATCTAGCGCCACACGCATTTTTACGATTAACGACGAAAATTTTTTTCTACTTTTTAGTTCGTCTAGTTACAAAAGCGTGTTTTTAGTTTTTAAACTATAATTTATTTTTGATTATTTATGATGATTATTTTCTCATTAAGACTAAAAAGTAATAAGTAAGTCAGTCACATGTGTTCCAGCACACGCCTCTTAGTACGGAGCAAAAGACATTACCGTATTTTTAGGTATGGAAAAAGCCGTTAATCCTGAATATCCTGATCAGGATAATTGGCCAAATTTATCATATTATTGTACTGTCATCGGTCCTTGATAAGTGTGCGAAGTTACAAGACGTTTTGAAGTAGTTCAAAATCACGATCGAAGATTCCGTTACATAGATACATCCATACGTACCGAGCTAATAAAAGCATGTTAAATAAAGACTTAGACTGATGGAGAAATAATTTATTCTAAGTGAATAATTATTACGAACAGAGAATAAAGTAAATTATGGAGTCAAAACATAATACTACTCAATTATACTGTCACAATAAATATTTAATATATTCAAGAGATTTATTATACTGTCGAATAGCGACAAATTTTCATCTTTGTGGTGTAGCTGATGTGGATAAATGTCAACATGAACTTGTACATCGTGGGTGGTTGGTCGGGCTGTGACAACGCACCGGGGTTGCATGAGTTAGCACTATGGTGACAGCACCCTTAGACCAACAACTTAATGCGTCTCACGTAGTTAATCTCTCGAATCATAGACAGATGAGTAATTATTTACTCATCTAACATTTAAAAATCCAACCTAAAATAAATCACCTCTTTAAGTGTAACGTATGAAATTCAATTTCTAAAAGCAACAATTTTGATATTCAAAGTTGCTGACGTTTAAATCTACATACATTTGCTGTACAGGACGCCGTGAAATTAGATTTCAAGGCTATACTTACAATGTTTGCTATTCGTTATGTTCGGTTAGTCTAGACAAATTACTATTAGGTACGCGAGCCTTCGGACTTTAAACTTTAAATAGAAAAAATAATTGTCAGACAATAAATATTTTAGAAGAAACGATAATGATTATTTGAATGTCTAGAATTTGAAGCTCTAGCAAAATTCCGATAACCCCTTTACACTTTGTTTCCCTTCCAGAAATTTAGATACCTAGAAAGTGACATCCGTTAAAACCCTTTATTATCTTAACAATATTGTTCTCTTTGTCACTGATTCGTAAACGAGTAGTTCGAAAGCATTAAATGCTAGAAGACAATGGAAAACACTTTATATAATGGCTCAAAATGGATAACGTTGTTCGTGTTATCTTTTAAAGGTAATAAAGAAGTCAGCCAGGAGTTTACTGTTGCTACTTATGCAACTGCATAAAAGCTTGACTTGTATTACAGCGGTGGCTATTGCTACATGACATCGTATTATGTCCGTGCTGCTTTATAATAGCTATGATTGAATACATAATAGCAATAACTCTTGTTCAATTTTACTTTTGGAATTTTTTGGTGGTTGTATGTAAAATAGTGTAAATGTTGTAAATGTTTTAATTGCATTATAATATTTTTCTTTACCTTTTTAATTAGATTTATTCAATAGAACTGTAATAGCAGCATAGTAGAAGGAAATTGGAGATAATACCTTTTTTTTTAAATATAATAATACCTTTGTACGCAATTTGAAATATAAGTTTTAAAATGCTGGTCAGAGATTGAGTATTTAATTTATTATTCTTACAGACATTTTTTTTTAGTTTTTATCTAGCTATGCAAAGCATTCTTACACGCGAAGCATAAACTAAGTTTATGTTCAAGTAAAAATCTTGAGCATGGGCATAAACAATGAGTTTCACAGACTACCACCGCGTGTTTTATCACTGACGTCATCCTTGTACCGCAGGTGTGCGGCCTTTGATTTTTTTACCTACAACGAAGAATTGCAAAAGGGCACAGATATGTTTAAGTATACAATATTTGTTAAGCAACGCGTAAAAGAAGAAAATGCTAATAGCTAATATTACACAGGTTTACATGTTAGGACCCATGTACACAGATGCTACGTCACAAACTCTGACTTAAATTTAATGATATTCTTAACCAACGAAGTGTATTTTGCTTGAATTAAATGAATAATAATTTTATCTTCGTACTACTAATGGTTTAAAATTTATCCAACTACATAATACCAGTCTAGTCTTTGCAATGCAGGAGTAGCATTAAAAATATATTTTAAATGATGTAGTAACAAATCAAATAGTGTAGTATGTATTTGTCATATATCCGCAAATAAAATATATTATACCTACTTCCGATGATTCAGTGAATTCTTAGAAAAGTGTACCGAGTAACGAGGATTATTTAACCGTTGAAGCACAGTGATAACTACAAGATTAAATAGGTAAAATAAACTCTGTAAACATCCAGCATTTTTCATTTCTATATTTATAGGAAGATTTTTTTTTTTAAAGATAGAGATTGTATATATATGTACATAGGAAAACTAGGGCAGGAAACTTTATATCATCATAATCAACCTTTTAGTAGTCACTGCTGGACATAGGCTTATCCTTAGTAGTAGCAAAGTAGTGTAAGCCTACTATAATTTACTATACTACTATTCATAAATTTAATTTTATATTCATATACTCATATAAAATGAAATTTATGAGAATGATATGTAGGGGACTACATATCATTCTCATAAATTTAAATTTAATAATTTAAATCTCATAAGGATATAAAAGGAAAACGTTGAAACCTTGTGCCAAACAACTCTTTAAAGATAAGGGGATGTACCTTATAACGATTCCTATTCAAGAAATGTCTCAATGCGTTTTAGTTTAGTTCTCGCTAATATTAGTTTAAATATGGATATAATATAAGTGAAAGCACTTTAGACAATTAATTGCAGTAAAAACGTAAAACATATCGCTTTGGTTAAAGTATTTCTGATCATTATAAACCCTCACCTATTTCTTAATAGCTATTTAAGAACTTAATATAATTTTACTCACATTCATTTCTTCTAAGTCCAAGTTTATTAATTTTTATTTTAACACCCACTCCAGAACTGTCTTAAAGTGGTGTCAATATGTTAGATTAAAACGCATAACCATACATTAATGCGGCCAAGAGATAGCCTTTGTAGAAAAACAACACAAACCGCACAGATAATAAAAATACAACCAATTTCATTACGATGTCCTTTTATGCTTATTTGTTTGTGTAATTTTTCATTATTTTAGGTACGAACAGTTAAGAAAGCTCAGCCAATTTTTCTTGGCAGTATTCACCTAAGGCCAATTCAAAGATGGTCACAATTAACTCAAATTGTCCACATCCGTCCCGTATTGACTACAACAGTTTAATAGGTGTCGGTCACTGAAATACATCTGCTCAAGTCAACAAGGTCAATGGTTAGTTGAAATATGTTTACATTGTAATAGAGAATACATGTGCTACTTATAGTAAATAGTTATTTACCGTTATCAATACGTAATAAGAAGTGAAATTAATTAAAAGTGATCTAGGAGTTTCTGATAAAATAAGTTTATAAATTGTGTAAAACAGGTAAATGGTAAAGCGTTGCCGTTAGCATGCAGGGAATCCCCAAATTGGCGGTCGCGTGTTGTTGCCGTTCTTGGAAGCAGTCAGGCGCAGGAGAAATTTCACAAGCGCTCGATGTAGGTCAAGTCAGGCGGACTTGACGTTTTCGACTCGCAAAGGTTACCATCACCGTCGCACGCCGCCGCGCCACCCGGCAAATCCGGTTGTGCGCTTGCGCAACTGATAGTCTCGTTTATCAGATCCTAAAAGATCAGTTGTTTCTAGAACGTAATAAGTGATTTAATACTAGCCAAGATGTTTAAAGTGCAGGTATGTCCAGTTAACAAGATAACTATATTCAGCAGCAGTAGTGGGGATGGCGTACCGTACTTTCATGTTGCGCCAGGCCTATGAGGATAATCTCGTGCAACACAAAGATTGTATCGTGTATTACATGTTGCATCAGCATGAGAAGGCGTGTTCAGTTTGTATGATTTGATTACGATAATAATAAATACATTGTTATATACGTATAGATTAGATATACCTGTCTCTTGTATAAAGGAAAATGTCAAATGCTATGCTCAAATTGATCAAGTATGGCAATGAATATCAGATGTGTTTGTGGCATGTTTTTAATATATATAATCGTTTAAACAATAAGTATTGATAACACACGCACCTTCATCACATATTTGGCTTTGGTAGAATTGGCAGTTTGCCATACATAAAAAAGTATTGATTGGGAGATTCTCTTCATTATTAAGATTTTATTTTAATTCGGATTGACTGAAGTAGAGCGAATACATGTGACAATAGGACGAGTAGACAATAATTGTCAGAAGCGATTATAAATCGACGATTGTTAAAAAGTTTTATGGATCGATTATAGTTTGTTATGCAGCGGCGTTTTGATCAATATCTGTATACATTTGTAGGTATATTATATATACCACCTACTTAATAGTAAACTGAAACCACATTTCTGTGGTGGGGGAAATACAAGGACTTCATTCATAAACAGGGATTGTCAATAAATGACGTTTAATGTATTTTTTGTAACAATTTTCCTGTATCATTGGAAAATTATTATTTTGTAATGTTTTGGTCGTTTTTAAATTACTCTTCATTGATATTTGACAAAATCTCTCTCAATTCAATTTGAACGTGCGTATCGTATAAGCTCAAACTACAAGTCCGATTTAGAAAAAGAACTTTTTATTTAGTTATAATATTTAAAAATGGTTAATCGTAGTATTTAATTACGATGGGAAAGTAGTATTAGAAAAAAAAACTAAAATCGAATTATTTATCTAGAACTAGAAAACAAAGAAAACAGAACAATTGTTAAAAATCCATCAAACTGTTTAACCAGTAGTGTGACATACGTAATATAAAGAATAATATTTATACAAAAATAACATTATAATATTCTACGCAGTAAAATAAAAATAAAATAAAAGATGTTTTTTGTTTCTTATGCAACATCAAGAAATACTTTGTCCTACTTTTTGTTAGAGGTATTTAATATGGTGCGTCATTGTAGAAAAGAAATCGGAGGCTAAAAACTAGCTTACCTACATACATTCACCACACGTTTACGTGACCGGAGTCACATCAAGGTAGACATCACAACAAACTACGTAAAATACCAAGTGGGTATTTTCTACAATTTCCTTATGCCATTTCGTAGTTGACTCAAAAAATCTTCGACATAGAATTTAATATTATCTTAACAAAATAATATTTAACAAATAACGCAGTACCTAAGTGATCAATAAAATAACATGAAAGCCTTTGTCGTTACTTTACAATAAATTGTTCAGGTACGATACAGTTCGTGGAAATCGAGACCGAGCGAACGCACTGCGCAGTGGTTTAGTCATGACGTCATCCGATGACGTCACATGGGTCGAACCATGAGTGACGTCACATGTGTACTGATAACACGAAAAACCCCGCGCAAAACATAGACATTGAAATTATGCTATCTAATTTTTATATTTTTTACTGTATTGTCTTATCTGAGATTCTTAATAAGTTCAGTTTTAAATAACGCCATCTGTCCGTAATAAATGTAACCTTACAAAACAACATTATTTATTGCTAAATAACGTAACATTCGTGATATATCAAAAAGTTATATAGGTACTTAATAATTGTATTGTAAATAATAATTTAGATCTTAAAGTTTTAAAAAATATTTAGATTAAAAAATTGAGGGTAAAACGGATAACATAAAATGATTTTAAATTCAACGAAAGAAATTTCTCAAACATTCTAAATTATTCACTACAATAGCAAATGTAACATTTGAAAACTAATTTAAATGCATGATAGTGAAAATTTAAGTCATGTCACAAAGTTACACAAACATTCAAGTTAGCTTTATCCTTTTCACACATTCAAACCGACCAATAGTATCGTTGCGGTGATTAAAGTAACAGGAGATTATTATTTGTGTCACAGCACACAGGTTGCATTGTTTTTCATACTAATGCGTAAATAACGTTCAAACATATGTTAGTAATGTTAGTCATTAAAAATATATAACTTGATAAGGACTGTTTTATGCAATTTAAAAATAATTTTGAAACTCTCAAGGACATCGTGCAATTTTAATCAAGTAAATATTTTCTGATGAGAAACTGGAAATTATTACACAATTATATTTGCAGATTGCACTGTCAATAATTTACATTTTGAGAAAGTTCTTTACGAGGTCACTTCATCTGCCACCAAAACTTCAGTACTAGCTGTTCAAAAACGGAAAAGAAAAAACTTACCACAGGCTTTCTGTATTCATCCGTTTGATAGTCAAACATGGTAGCGAACATCAGACCTTCGTCTTGCTCGCTGTTGTTGAGGTGGTATGGCACCAGCTGAGACATGAAGACCACTTTCCACAATTATTTTCTAAACCAACTGTCCACTGAGGGTATTAATGTAAAAGTTCACAATGCAAATAGTTTTTAAAAATCACGTACTTGTTAATTCACGCTATGATAAGAGTATGAGTCATGGAAAGGCTTCTACAAAATGTAGACGTACGCGTAGCTAGAATGTTTTATATCAGACTGAGTCAGTTGGCGCGCTTGTGGCCGGTTTTGTATGATACCGAACGACCACAACGCGCAGGCGCAAACGACACAACGCTAGAACCGAGGCGGCGTATGTCCAAACATTTCAACAATTCGCTAACGGAGCCAAATATTTTTTTTTACAATTCTTTGAATGAAGTTAAGTTTTAATGATTCAATAAATAGTTTCTGTATGAGATGTGAAATAAATATTTTTATTAAATTGTATCAGTTGGCAACGGAGAAAACGTGGGCGATGCGAGGTGACAAACATTTGGGGAAAACCGACATTTGTTTTTCTGCAGTTAGCAGTAAAGTGTAGCAAAGCTTAAAAGTTTCTAAGAATATTAGTACGTGCAAAGAAACTTCTGTTCTCTGTAAAGGAATTCGAGTTTCAAATAGACTAAATAAATGATGCGAACAACTTACTCAATTACATTTAAATTTACTTCAAACAAAAAATGTCGCCTAACGCGGGCATTATGAAAAACGAAACAAAGGTATTAGAGCTTTACTGCCACAACGTCAATAATTATACAAATGAATCATATAGTGGAACAAAAACAAATTATTGCATTGTTAGAAACTATATTATTTTACAATAAAGATTATATGTAATTCATTCAAGGCAAATCGTATTATTATGCACACTGCGAAGGCAATAATATCAAAAGATTTATTTCAATTTGAGGGACTTAACACATTTACCAGAAGCGACTTATTTTTAACGTTTAAGGTAGCAAAATAACAAAAAGTATTAACGGAGTGAATTTGAAGGTTTTTCACCCAATAACTTTTATAATCTTAATCTATTTTCTCTTACTACTAAAGTATAGGTCGAAATCGGGGACTTACTTTCATTATAGGTGAAGCACAATTCCTTAGGCTGAGATACAACAAGGGAGGAAAATTCCAGCAGTCGCTTCTCATTGGAATAATGTGGTTTGGAATCTAAAACTTTTTTATAATCTTGGTTTTCTATATTTTTTATTCGAGATACATATTATAGAATAAAATATTTACCTCGTGTCTTGGCACATGTGTGTGAACTATGTAGATTGACTTGCATCGATTTTGGTAATCAGCGGTGGAGTACTTGTGGAGAGTATTTGTGTTAAGAAATATAATTAAAGATTTTTATAATTACTTAAACATTTAATAGAAAGGTTCGGCGGGATAAATTTTGAGCCAAAAGACATAATTTCTCCCAACATTTCATTTTTTATTTTTATTTAGCAGCGCGTAGTATAAATAATTGACCTCTCTGTTCTACGCAACATTTTGGCTAAAGAGTAAAAACGAATCTAGAAACAATAAGAACAAACATTAACATTATATTTGAAGTATTATATATTTCTTACTTTGACAATAGATATTTGTATTTGTTTCAAGATCAAGAAAATTAGTTAGGAAATTGTTTCAATAGGGCACGTCAGAAATAATGAGACGGCTGTGTGCCAACGACTGCAGTTGCCAGGTTTAACTTATCGATTGTTGCAATAGATTTTCTGGTTCCAGATATAGTAAAAGACATTTGTACTGAGAATCGCAAATAAAACTTGTTTATCTAGCCTTCAAGCTTTTACTTTTAAGCCTGTTTTAATTAAAATTCAACTATTTTTGTATCGGTAAAATAATGGATGCCCAATAAACGTTCGATTAATTTCTAACAGCAGTGAACTTCAAAGATAAAATTATAAGATTTTATCTAAGTACTATTTAGTTAAATAGATTTTAAGCTAGACAAAACTTTGTTTTGAATCTAGATGAATTTATCATACATTTAATGAAACAATTGCTTGTAAGTTGGTGACACATTACTACTATACTAAAAAAACATGCTGTCTGATAACAGCGATTATCCTCGATATAGGGCGATCATTGTTATTTAAAATAATGATTGCGTCATTTCTGTAAAAATACTACTACTACCTTATCATTTCTTAAAAGTATTACACCTGCCGGTATTCTATAGGTAAATCAGCTATAACACTGATAACAATATTTTCCTCAACAACGGACAAGTTCTTTTAAATAACGATAATTCATAAAACGATTACAAATTGTTATTAGAAGTGCTATAACAAGATAAAAAATTATAGTTGTATGTATGTTTGTAATGGCCTGTAGTCCACTTTGTTTTTTTTTAAAGAATATCGCAGCTAACATTTCTTGCAATTTTGTATTCTGGCTGTCAAGTATGGCCATTGCTATTTAAACAGAAGGATCAGCGATTGCATATCGTGATCTATGTTAGTTTTTCATATCGTAGACCCTTAGAGCAAATCGGTGTCGCAAAATGTAACGTTCATGTTCTTGGTATATGAATGCGGTTAGTATGGATTTAAAACTTTACTGTTATATAATTATCTTTAGCCAGACCCATTCATAAGTGTAATTTTTAATACTAGCACATGTTACACAAAATTACGTATTGTTTATCTCACATTGATGTTTGTTAACTGACGCATCTATTAGTAACATGTGACTGGTATTGTTTGATAGACTGTAGAGTCGTTAAACCCTGTGATGGTTCAAGGGCGGGCCCTTGACTGCTAGTCACGCAAACAAATATTTCCACGAGTTCAGGTTCATTTTCTAGGAAAACTGTCGATACCGTCATATACAAAAATGAAAAATATTAGAGCGTTTGAATAATCTAATTTCATATGAACTTATAATAATTATTCGTTTTGTTTCAGTGTTTTGAATGAGGACTTGAAATGATTTCCTCATACATTGAATTATAGCCATCCGTCTTGTTCAGTACCTATATTACCTAGTTCTACTGAACCTTACCTACGTTCTACTAAACTGTGGTTTTGCAGCACTACTAGTGCAGTGCTTTTTTTGTTGTTAAAGAAGCGATTAATGGTGGTAATGCACAAGTTAGACACCTTTATAGGTAATTATTCATGGCTACCGGTAACTACTTTTCTTTGAAGCCAATTTTAAGTTAACCGGAGCCTAAACCCCCACCCGCACTCACAAGCGGGCGGCAAAGCACTTATGACTCTTTAATTGCAGAACGTTTGCATAACAAACTTCTTCAGCATAGAATTAATTAAAAAAATAATTCAAAATGTACTTATTCTCCGTCGTGTTGCTTTTGGCAGAGCGGTCGTGGTCACAGCTTTTGTGCCAGTACTGCTAATAATATTCTATAAGTTTAAATATTATAATTTTCGATTTTACTAATATCCAAAACACATTTCGTACTATAAGTACTAAGTTTAGTTCGGCTACATACGAATTGAATACATAAACAACAAATCTGAGCCCGTGTGAGGTGCGAGGTTCTTGCCCAACCTGAACTCGCGTTAATTGACTTGCTAATTTGCGTTTGCGCACCACTAATGTACAACTCCACTATACTACAAAACAGGAAAACAAAATTGATTCTGTCTTCTAGGAAGACCCAGTTCCTTCAAGGTTAAATAATGAAATTAATAATCTAATGTGCATACGTTTTTGGTACACTACAAAAATATTATTACTACTTGGAAATTTAATCACGAGTTTAATATTCTTTTAATTTAAATATGCATCACTTCAGTTCAAACGTCCTTTTTTTCTAAATTTTTAAGTTCGGGAACCCAAGGTCGATTGTTGTCATCAAATTTGAAATAAATACCACGGACATGAAACGAGTAATAGCTTTAAGGTAGATGATGTGCACATCGGTTCTTTTGATAGACAGAGTGAAACATGAGGTTCTTATCAGCTTCTAGTCGAAACTTCCGCTCTGATTAGATTGGTATTTTTGCAACACTATCATAAATTCCTTTAAAAGATAAACAGTATCAGCATCAGAGCAGGTAAAGGGCTTAAGACTTCTGGTTTTTAACTTGTTTTTATAAATAATAAGGGCTAATTTAGGATGTTTTTTACATCTCTTCTTTTCATAAAAGAAAATAAACGGAGTTATATAAGATCAATTTAGCAATTACTCATCTAGTGATAATTCGATTAATCACACGTCACATAAGTACAGTCTCCACATTAGAGTCGAGTAGATAAATAGGTCACTTAATGCCGCACTTCGGGGCAAGCAAAATATTTACTTTTTCCACAAAAAAATAATGCAATTAATATAGATCATAAGCGAGAAACGAAGAAGAAATCAAATAATATAATAATTTTTAATCAGGCAGTTCAAAGTATAATATTACTCTATGTCGTGGTGTAAGTCAGACAGGTGGACAACATCAATGGATATAGAAGTAAATACAAATATAGCATTGAATAACTAAACATTACAGACATTTTACATTATATGATGTATAAGTCAGATCACTATAATTTATTATAAACAACATCATCTTCGTAAGTTTTTCCCGGGGTCACCGCAATGAGTTTTCTTCTATTCTCCTTTTATCACTCATCAGCTTACCTACTGCTCACTCCCTTTCTAGCTGTATCTTCTTTTAAGCAGTCTTTGGTCGTCCTCTACTTTTTTATCCGTCAACTCTCTTCACATTTTGCTCATCGCATCATGACTTTTTTTTTAAGTGTGGAAACCGCCTCGGGCCATGTGTGTGGGAATCAAACCGACTAAAACCACACGGTGTGCCACTCCACGCCTGAGATGGGAGGGGTCCGGTAACAGCTAATATTAAGACATCCGGACCACGCATCATATGTCTTCATCCACTGCTTTTAAGCCACTGGCGCTACTTTTGGGCTTCCCCTAATGGTCATTATATTCCTGTTCCTCACCTTGTCCATCCTATAGTCACACCACATATCCATCTTAACTGCTGATGACTGTAATTAGTAATAAACATATAGGTAAATCTAATATGACTTCG